TAACCAATACCAGCAAATGTTGGGTTATGGTCGCTTTTCACAAAATGTTGGCCTTTTCTTTCATGTCTTAATTATCTTTGTTTTTCTTTAATACTCTCCCTTACACATACATCTCAGCTCTCTCAGACTGTTGAATATTCTCTGTATTCCATTGGGACATACAGTATGGCTATTATTCTCCCAGAATGCTTCATTTTCTTTTAGGACCTGGAAGCTGTAGTGGCAGAAGTATCTCAAGATGCGGAGAGTATAGGAGAGGAGGAGGAGGAGGTTTCTGCAGAGCCACAAGAGGAGGATAAAAGCTCCACAATTACAACAGTGTCCCTTTCTGCACTTTATATGCATCCTGATGACATTTTGAAGGCTCTCAAGGCATTTGTGCAGGAATTCCAGATACCAAAGTAGGTCTGGATTGAAAAATGGGGCTGGTAAAGGTGTTGGATTTGCCCAAAAGGTGAAGAATGGATTAAAACAGAAAATTGGCTTGGCCCTGGTAGTAGTGCATATGATGCTCACAAGCAGCCAGGAATAGGTGCACGTTCAAATAAGTAGAATAGAATAGAATAGAATAGAATAGAATAGAATAGAATAGAATAGAATAGAATAGAATAGAATAGAATAGAACAGAATAGAGCTGGAAGGGACCTTGGAAGTCTTCTAGTCCAGCCCCCTGCTCAAGCGGGAGAACCTATACCCTCTCAGACAGGTGAATGTCTAGCCTCTTCTTAAAAATCTCCAGTGATGCAGTACCTATGATTTCTGGGAGTAAGCTGTTCCGCTGGTTGATTGTCCTCACTGTCAGGAAATTTCTTGTTAATTCTAGGAGAATTAAATAAATATTTAATTTAAATATCTTTTCTAGGATCTTCCCAGGTATTGATGTTAAACTGATTGGATATAGTATAGGATAATAATATAGTATAGGATATTATTATTATTATTATTATTTAGTATAGGGTCTTTCCCCTATTAAGTGTTATGTGAACTGAAGTAGTGTCCAATCATCCTTGAGTTGACACAAAACTGCCTGTACAAAATTACTGTTGTAACTGTACATCCTTTTTTCTGTTCCTTCTGCATATGTTCCAAAGTGTTAATTAGTGGTGCTGCCGTAGCCATGACCTTATTCTTTAGCACATCACCAACTGCAGGACTGTCCATCATCTTTAGGCTTCTTCCAGTGTCCCTCCTATATGTCATTCAGTCATTAAACTGAGTTGGATTGAAAAACAAACACTTGAAAAACAAACACTTCCAAGGCATAAAGGAAGCAGCACTTTTGTTTAGGATTTTGTCTCCCTACTTTTGCTTTCTTTATGTAGTCAGTACTACTTATTTCTGTTAATTATTGTATTGCTAGCTGAACAGTCTAGGGCTGTTAAAAGGCCACCAGCAGATCATTGCTGTTCCTAGCCTTTTAAGGGACAACAGCAAAATGACCACAGATAAGGCTGACTGGAGGGGAAGGGGCTTTCCCTGATCTACCTGAAATGGTCATAAATATTTCTTTAATCTCACCCACTAGTGATCTCTTGATTCACCTATAACATAATGAGATGATGAAACATTACACATTTTACTTATCTTGTGATAAGAAAAATATTGCCAGAGCATTTTTGGCTAAATATAAAAGCAGAAAGATTTTTGTGGAGAAGTATATTTTCACACATAAAATCTCAAGTTCAGTCTCCGGCATCTCCAGTTAGGACTGGGGAGAGCAAATGATGCTCAGTACAAATAGTACTGCCTCAAATGGATAGAAATATTGTTTTGAAAATAGAGAAAGAAAATCTCACATATGCTATTCTATGTTTCTACCCAGATGCACAAATGATTCAACAGAGGAAAAAAACCAAAGCTGATCAGTTAACAGGATTGGAATATGTAGCTCTATTGTTGACTGGTGAACATTTCTTTTGAAAGCTAATGAAGATTTTATTGTCTTAAATTTCTGTAGTAATGTTTAATAATTTCCTAGTGTTTTGTTTTATATTTTTGTGTTTGTGCTGTCATAAGCTGCCTAGAATTATATAAAAATTGAGAAAGTTGGGGGCAAGGGGGAAGTAAACTATTAAATACCCCATGCATTTAACTGTCTGGATTGGAGGGGATTCCATCATTGCTATATTTGGTGAGGTTTTCATCAAGATTTGGACATTGAGAAGCTACCATCTGCACAGTGTATCAAAATAACAGCTCACTGTGAGATTTCTATTTTAGCATTGTGATTCAGCCCCTAGTCATGCTAATGTCTGAGTTGGTGAGAACAGCATAGAAGAATTAAGTTGAAGCCTTCACTTAGATTGTGATAGGAGTTTAGGACCAATACAGTAGGAAGTTGCTTATGTCAGATCAAATTATTCCAGCTAGTGGCTCTTTCCTTCACCTCTAGGGACCAATGGCCACAGATAAAGAAAGTACATGAAGAGCGGGACAACTCTAAAGATTCTGAATATTGGGATGCATTGGCTCATGTTATCCCAGATGGAAAACTGAAGCTTTGGGATGCTCTGATTGTTGGCTTACAAAAATACTAGTAAGTGATGAAATCTGCACATCCATGCCCTTAGTGATAATAGGGCAACCTCTGCAAGGAGTGGACTAGACACATTTGACCTAAGCAATCTTGCCAAAGTGTGCTAATGTGTTATTCATCCTAGAGACTTGTGGTGAGAGTAGTCTCTTGTGATAAGACAGCAGAAGACTTATTTCTTCAGTTTCAATGAACTTTAATCAAATCCCAGTTCAATCCCAGTCTTGTCATTGTTTTTTTAAATGCAAGTTTGTAGACATGTGAACAGAAAATACTGACTTTCTCCTCTTTACTTGGTCAGTTTATCAGGAAGTTGATCTTCTGTTGCCCAGTTTTAATGGGTTCATTTCTCTATGATAGTGAAAAGCTTTATTTTTTTCATTGAGGACACATAACTGTCCTCATCCTGCATTCCCCACCTCTAGGCTATTGAGTTTGACTGGTAATGTTCCAATAGTATTGGAGTAATAGGGCAAAATAAAATTGTCCAATGTGTGAGGAGGGTTGGGAAAACATGATTCAAGGCACCTTTGAGTTTCTCAGCCTTCCCATCTTCCCCAAAGGGAAAAAAATAGACATGTTTTTTAAAAAAAGATATCTAAAAGCCTTAATCTTCCTTAACACCCGAGGCTCCCATTTTGGCACAGTGCTTCACTAGCAGTGTTTGGTCATATCTACTCTGAGGAACTCCTAAAATTACTTGAGGGCTGAGGAAGGGGTGTGGTATATCCATGTGGTTCAAATGTTGACCATTTGAAAGCCTGCAGTCAACAACACTTTTGTCCATACTGTGTTGAAGGACCCCTTTCTCTTTTCCATCTGTCTAAGCCATTTTCTGACTCTGAGGGCAAAGCTGATTGCAGAGACTGATGGGCTGACTCAGCAGAATGAAGAACTTCAGATGCTGCTACAGCAATATTTACAATCCCCAGTAAGTAAATGGATAGAAATGTAGAATCATAAAATTGTGGAGGAGTAGGGGACCATGTACCGTAATTCAATCCTGTACAAAATGCAAGAAAACTAATTTAACCCTTTCCATGAGTTGTCCATCTGGCATCTACTTAAATTTTGTAGAGATGCAGAACCTGCAACCTTCATAGTTAGACTGCTCCATTTTTATATACACCACTTTTAACAATTTGTCAGTCAGAATGCTGTATGAAATCCTGTCAAAAGCTTTGTTGAAATGTAGGTGAGTTAAATCCCCTTCTCCACTGGTATAGTTATGTTGTCAAAGAAGGAGAAAAGATTTCTCTCTGAATACCTATTTATGATAAAGCCATGCTTTTCAAGGTGCTTACATATGGCCTGCTTTATTATATTTTAGGCCAGTTATGTACCTGTAACTAGGCCAGGAAATCCCTGCAGGACCTATTCAGCATCTTGTTTGCAAAAACTTTCTCACACTGAATTTAAGTCACACTGATCAATGTTTATTTGGTAATGTTTGTCATTTTCCCTGCCATAAAACTCTCCAGGATAATTTCCAGACAAAACATATTTAAAAACGCAGCAATATTTTGAAAATATACAAGCTATATCAGCAACAAAACCTTCTTGATAGCATTTTCTAAAATTTCTGAAAATGCTTAGGAATAAATCAAATTCAAATCAGTATAAAAACCTTTCCTCAAAATAAAAATTGTAGAAGAGGATGGAGGGCTTCTGTCCTAGTTTTGTCCTAGTTTATATAGTTGCAAGTCCACATAGACCTCAGCAGTTGTCCTTCACATTTTATTTTATTTTCAATGATATTAACTTTACTTGCTTAACATATTAAGTCAGTTATAATACACAGTATGTTATCTTATCATCGCCTTCCCACTATGCACCACTCTTTAATCCAAGTACTACATTTTCTATATTTTCCAGACCCTAAATTGTAGCTAATGTGAGAGGCATTGGGGAGGCTGAGACAGTAGGGGAAGGCTTATCATATTAGGTATAAGCTACTGTAAGATAGGAGAGTCTGTTAACAGTTTTCTTCATAAACTGCAACTAATCCAGATTGTAAAAAACCTGGAAGGAATTTTCAAAATGTTTTGATACTCTGCCTTAAGGAATTCACTAATGAATGAGGGTAGGAATTTTCTTTTGCAGTTTGCAAAATTCTGTGTTTGCTCATTAATCCTGAAAGATACTTTACTGACATCTACAAATCTTGCTTCCATTATGTTGCCCAGCTGTTAGGGGATTTGACAGCTATATGGTGATAAGTGTGAAATTTAGTAAGCATAAGACTTTCAGTGAAGAATTAATGCAATATGGATTAAGATAGAGGTAGATTTGTGTTTCTTCACCAGAATGTTTCATTTCGTGTCTCAGGGGAATGCATTTACACCCATGGTTGAATGCATGAGAGTTATAATTGAGTATATAGCAAGGAGATAAAATTGGAGCAACTGTTAGACACAAAGCAGTACAAAGCAAAGTCTTAGGCTGGGGCCCATCCTGTTCCTCTTACCTCAATATCAGCAAGGCTGTGGTAACAGTGGTGCAGACTGGAGGAAGATCAGGCAGCCAGCTATTTCTTGATGAAATTGTTTGGTAAGTGTAATGAATTTGCTGCCACACAATATCAAGATGACTATTGGCTAGTTTTCTAACTCCTGGGAAACAGTCTATCAGAGGGCTTGAGCTATTTTGAGCCATGTTTCGAGATAGTATGTTGCCAAATATAATTTTAAGACAGTGGATTTAGAAAAAGAAGATGGTTGCCCTCATTAGCTTTCTTGTGGTATTCCCACAGACAGCTAGCAGAAAACAGAATACTGAATTAAGTCTATTTTTGGCGTATTTCATACAGACTCTCATGCTTTTAGTAAAAGAAAAAAGAAAAGAGAGACATAACCATAGACTCTGGAATCATTATGAACAGACTTTATTTAATGTAATCTATAGATCTTGGGAACCAGTGCTAATTCTTAATAAAACATGTACCTTGAGATGGGGTACTTTTAAGCATTTTGAAATGGAGCTGGATACAAGGGAGCCTTAATCTCTTTGCTTCTGTTTGTTACAGGCCAATGCTGGATTGCTCATTCCGCCTACCCACTTACTGCATCTGCAGATGAATAACCCATGATAATCTTCTGTGCAAGAGATGTGGGCTGGTTATTCCCCCAGTATTCTCATTACTTATCTGGATCATTACAGCCAGGTCATTACTGCCAATCCCCACTTAAGTCCCAAGAGGCAAGAGTGGGCATAAACAACTTCAGCATGTAAGCCCCTCAGTTGTTTTGAGATGCTGGTTTGAAAACACATATGTTAGTCGTTCCTGAGTTAAACTGAGACACACAGGTGTTTTCTAGCATGATGGCAGAACTGATGTACTGTATATAGGGAGTAACTAAAACTAAGTTAAAACTAAAACTAAGGCACATTAAATCTGCTTTCCAAATATTCTGATATATGTTCAAACCACAACTCAATGTGATTAGATGATGAAGCCCATATTGGCATATTTCAGAAAAGAGAAAAATTTTATCCTTCATAAAAATTTAAAACAATATAAACAAGATGTCTTTTTGACTCTATCCATGTATTTTTTTTGGGGGGGGAGGGAAAGTGTTTCAAAAGAATTAAGTCAAAATAATAAATAAATATTTAATTACTACACAATTTCTTCTGACTCATCCTTGTTACCTAAGGAAACGAGGGTGGGATGGAGTGTCTGCAATTGGATGGTATCAAGCATCAGAAGATTTGAAATTGCAACTTCTGGCATTCTGAAATATTTGAAATATAATCCCAAGGAACCATTAAATATGAACTTGAATAGCAGCTTTGACTGAGAAAAAAGAAGACACACACACACACACACACATATATACTGTACCCGTAGGACTGAGACTGTGTTTCCCTTGCGTTAAGCCATATAGTTTGAGATGCTTCATTCTACCATGCCCATTAGTGTGTGGAAAGTGTGTTGTCATAATCTAGTGCTTTACAGCCTATAAATAATAGCAATGTGCAGATATGTGGTAGATTTCAAGAAAGACTATTAAAAGAGGAAGACCAAGTGCCTGGAAATCGTATTGTAAGAGAGCACAGAATGTGATTACATGGCAAAGATGTTCATGGAAAGAAACTCAACTGAGCATTTCCAGAAAATTCTAGTTCACATAAAGAAATGAGCTGTTGTTTTCCTAAAGATCGTGTGCCATCTTTTGAAGCTTGGATGTACATTTAAGGATATCAGGACTAGGAGCACAAGATATTGTAAAAGAAAAGTGGGATTCTTAATTTAGAACTGCATTTCTGATGCAGAGTAGAGGTATAGTTTTCCATCTTGACGAATACAGCAGTTTTCCCCAGCTTCTCCCCTATGCCATTATTATACATAGGAATCTGTTGCTTTCAGTGATCCATTTTTATTAAAGAATTTACAGATTTTTTCTTAATCCAGAGATGCTATATTAACAGTGCACAGAAAAATATCCCTACCAATATCAGACACCCCACCACAACTGTAAGGAAATAAAATCAACAGTTTTCACACAACCCAGAAAATAATAAGCATGAAATATAGAAACTTCACTTGTGCTATGCTGTGAGAGAGAGCAGCCAAAAGGCAGTGCAATTGTGCTATTTTTTTTCCTAGAAATCTGATAAATTAAAGCTAGGACATCACATCTCCTTCCAACTTGTAAGCTATCTTTGCCTCCTGACAAGTCAGATTTTTTGCTAGTATTAGCTATTGCAGGCCCCTTATGAAGGGATCCCCAACCCTTGGGCCATGGACCAGTACCGGTCTATGTCCTGTTAGGAACCAGATCACACAGCTGGAGTTGAACGGTGAGCGAAACTGAAACCATCCCCCCCCCAAAAAAAACCCAGTCCATGGTGTCAAAAAGGTTGGGGACCACTGCCTTATGATACTATAGTATGGTATAGTATCGAGCATATGTTTGGGAGAGGTATCTAAATCATTATGCAAGACTAACAGTTATAATTTATCATTAGGAACTAGAAAGAGTTGTAGCTGCCCCCCTCCCCCGCATGCTTCTGCAATTGCTTGCAAGAAAATGTGTTAGTGATCTAAAATCCACATTCACACTTGACATACACATTATGTCTCCTAGGTACCAGGCATGGGGGCAGGGTAGCATGTGATAAAATGTGGTTGTGACATCACAGCCTGCACGCTCCAATGCATGATGCAAGTACAAAGTGACAGAATTTGTACCATCACACACAATTCAGCATTTTGGTGCCATAATGGTTAGGAACGGATACCAACCCTAGTAGGGACAATAGGTTAATGATCAGGTAGAATGAGAATAAGATGAACAGCATCTTAGTGTGTTCATATTAAAGAGTTGATGCTTATGAGCACTGGACTGTTGAATTAAGAAAGAAGCTCTTAAACGATCCTCTCTGTTGGAGAGGACTGAATGTGTATGGGAGGATAGATTGAACTAAATATGTATGAGCTTTGAAAAGATTACCCAGTTTTATTAAATAATAACGTGAACTGCCCATGTTAGTTATCCTTCTGTATCACTTGGTATTACCTACATTCCTACAACATAGTCTGAGTTTAATAGGCCAAGCTGGATATTTCACTCCATCCTTCCTGCCCTCATCCTATGCAGATGGCCTCACTAGCTGACCCATACTTCAAAATGATATAATTTGCCATTAAAATAGGATATGACATTATAACATGTTCCTCAGCTTCACCATACTCCTTATTCTGGATGTTATTTGTCTCAGCAACTGATTCTACTTCCTGATAAATTACATACCGTAAAATGCAGCTGTTTACCCAGCTTTGTACCCGATAATTAGAAGTTCAAAAGAACTTCTTGGCCTTCCATGAAACATTGCCTTTCCACTGTGTTCTTCTTCAAAGCTTGATTTCCCAGTTGTTCCAACTGGAAAATATAAAAAACCCTGTCTAAAGATCACAACCAATCCCATTATAATGGTCATCTAAAAAAATGGAAATTCTTTTATTTCCCAATTGCATTAATGGAGTATAAATGTGTACACAGGTGAATATCCAAGCAACGTTTCTGTAATGATTCTAGGATATTTTTAAAGCATTGAATGTTTCAGGATTAAGCACAAACTGCATGCTCTTTTTATTTAACAATTAGGTCTTAAAGTGTGTCAATTTTAGTTTGTTTTGGTATAACATGCACCTCACAACAAATTGTAAAGAAGGAACTAAAATGAGGAAAATAATAATTTGCCTATTATCTGAACTGAACCCATAGCTTGGGGCCATTGCAGTTCACACTCTTGCCATTACTTTACACACTCTGACAAAACAAAATGCTTATCTTGTTTAGTTGCCTGAAGCTAAGAATCTGTTAGCTGTTTTCATGCAAAACCTTGGAAGGGCAAGCTTTCCCACTTTCCATTGCAATAAACTGTTACACAGTCAGGGAAGCAGGGGCAATCTCTTTTCTTAATAAGGGGAAACTGCAGCATCAGATTCCAAGAAAATATGCCAAGATTTCTTAAGTAGCCGATCACTCCAAATCTAATATGAACAGGAATCCTTTGAAATTTCAGCTTTTTGGGGAGACATACTTTGTGACATCAGCAAAGGGAGAAAACAATAACAAAGAAAGAAGGGAGAGATGGGATAAATGCAGTCCACACAAAATGGAATTATGGTTGTCAAGGTAATTCCATTTAAGATTAATTCATTCACGGAGGACACTGAAATTGAGGCAACAACAAATAAATGTGGGAGGGAAGGCATTAAGTTGTTGAAGAGACTGGAGGAAACAGCTGAAAAGAGAACTTACAGTGAACTTTGGGAAGGAAGGACACTTTCCCTTTTTCAAGTCATAAAAAAACAATAAAGCAATTCTGATTCTGACTCCTCCTGCTTCCAAAATCCCTCCCCCAAAAGGTCCAAAAATACACATGGAAGCCATCAAACAGAAATGAAAGGTTGTTGCTGACACTCAGCTTTGAAATGGGAGAATAGGGCAGCTGTCTCATGCTCCCAGAAGCTTCTTGACCATATAACCAGGCATGGAGTAAAGGAAAAGGGCCACCATGATGAGAAGTAGAAGGGCCAGAATAATCTTGATAATGAGCCATTTGTAACGGGTACAAATGAGGTATCTGATAGACTTGAGTGGGTTCAGGAACCAGATGAAGGATGTGTCTGGGCGACTGAAAAGGAAAAAGAAATTGTCTAAGCTTAATGAGAATAATTGTTCTTTGAGATGATTCATTCAACTTTGGTCTACAACTTACCATCCCAAGAATACCCACTGTTCAGTAGAAAATTGCTTTTTTAAATATGTCAAAGCTACCAAAATAAGATTTGGAACCTTCTCATTTATCCTATTGTTGGCCTGATGGCACAAAAAGATTCTTGATGAGAGGCTAAATCAAGCACAACAGGCCTTATTCATCACTCACCAGATACTTGACAAATCCTTTTGTATCAGTTAAGGTATGGTACAAAGGTTAGAAACTATCCAGACTTGGTGGCCACTATTCATTAATGCCAAACTAACAAAAAAGGTTTTATCTTATGCAGTCTTGCTTCAGAAGCCCTAATAAAGCAGCTTGTCATCCATAATTCCTTGACAGGATGTTGGGATGCAATTTTCATAACACAAGACTCAGCCATTTGGAAGAGTGTAGTGGACTACTACTCAGGTTTTCTGGGGATTTTTGTCAACTAGAGGTTTTCTGAATTTCCTTTTCTCCTCACCAAGAATTTTATTTACATGAATGCTTAGGGTTGGAATTCAATTCCATGGCTTGTTTTCAAGCCTAAGATTCTATTCTGCAGTGATCTGATACAATCATCAGGAAAACTCTCTCTAAACATGTCAAAACCACTCAATCAATATTAGCAAACCCTCACTCATTTGGACAAAAGAACATGCATTCTAATTTGGGGAATGGCAGTATTATAATTTGCAAGCTATCTACTGTCCTTCTCATTTCAGCTTGCCTACATTTACAATGGATTTATTGTGGCATTAAATGATACTGTAAGCATGAATAGGTGGAAAAAAAGAAATACCCTCGGCAAAGAAGGAAGCCTACTCAGGCCCCAAGAAGTTTCTTGACCAGATAGCCAGGCATAGAGTAAAGGAAGAGGCCAACCATAAGGAGCAAGAGAACGAGGAGAAGGATTTTCAGCAGAAGCCAACGATAGGTATGCCAGATAAAGTAGCGGATGGACTTGAGAGGGTTCAGGAACCAGATGAAGCTGGTATCTGGGCGGCTAGGGCAGGGTGGGGCAAGGAGAAGAGAGAGGCCAAAAACATATAAGTAAGAGAAAGACAGGAAAACTGAATGGAGTCATGGAGAAAAATGGGTGACGGCAGTCTAATTTTGCTTGCTGCCATAATCCCATGTGTTTGTAAACTCTCCCATGACCTTCCCAATTCAATATCCCCACAGGGTATCAATCTGCTTGGATATCCCTGCCCCCATCATCCTTTCCCATACACTCACTTGGGTTTTTCTAATGGATCTGGCTCATTACGCGCCAATCCAGCTGGACATTTCTCAGCTTCCTCAGCTGTCAGTAAATGAAGCTCAGCTTCCACTTTACCCTGCAGGGGATCAAAAGATCACAGATAGGGTTACCTTCAGAATGAACAAGGCTCTCTTTTTAGATAAGATAAAGATACAAGTGCGTTTGTGTGGTAAGTGGGATATTGTGCAGACATTTGTAGAGTATGGAAATGATCTTGATGGAAATATTGTGTAGACATTTGTGGAGTATGGAAATGATCTTGATGGAAATATTTATTATTTATTTATTTATAAAATTTATAGGCTGCCTATCTTACCATAGAGTAACTATGGTGAGCTTACAGTTACATCTAAGCTAAAATATAAACAGTTAAAATCAAACATTAAAATCAAAGACACATGAGGAGGGTGGGTGTGGAGTGGGGTGAGTTGAGATATGTTATTACTCATTGCGTTCTTCCCCCACTGGGGCCCCAAGCTGACTGACAAAGCCATGTCTTTAGGCCCTTACGAAAAGATAGGAGGGTTGAGGCCAACCTCACATGTTCTTAAATATCTGAGCTCTAGTACTAAAGCAACAAAGGGTGAACATCTCTTAAGTGTACAATCAACAGAAAGCATTAATAAGTGGCTCAGACACCTGGCTAATTCACAGAAATATAATATAGTATATATTATATAATATATATTATATGTTATCACAGAAATATAATTACAGAAAAGGAAGGAGATACAGCACAATGGCACTTGTAAAATTCTATTAATAGAGCCCTTCTCAATAAAATTAGTTTTATCCTTCCTGTGGAGATTATGTCTTGGTCTGATCTACCTAGTAGCACTGACACCAAATCTTGCAAGTCTTATTAGGCACCTCCTCCCCTTTCTTATATTTTTGTGAATTAGGAAATGTCTGAGCCACTTACAAATGCTATCTGTTTATTGTGGACTTAAGGTATTTTTACCCTTTTTACCCGTGTCTCCAGCAAGCTCATCTCTCTACCATATTCATCCCTAACACCTACCCATCAACATGAAGAATTGGAAGGAAGCACTGAGTTATTATAAAGTTATTATTATTATTAAAGCCACACAATCCAAGGAATGCTCCATTCCTTCATCTATCCTGTGTGAGTTGTCTTTGTGAGCTATTGCTTATCCCATAATTTCCCACCATTTTTGTGGGCTTGTTTAAGGACTTTCCCTCTTACTCCCACAATCTAAAATAATCTTTTTCCAATTGTCTTGGCTCTAGGTTTTACGGAATCTATTTCTCCTTTAAACAGCAACGGCAGGCCTCCCCCACCAACATTACCGTCATCTCCATTTCATCGTTCTCGTTTCGAGTCAAAAAGGGCCACCAGCCCTTCACCCTCTTCTGCTTGAAGATAGAGATTATGGGCACCTCTATTTCACCAGTTCCCAGCTCCATGCTGCACTGCTTGGCTGTCTTAGCACCACGTGGGAAGCGGTTCAGGTCAAGCTCAATGCCTCCTATGGGAGTAGGAAGAGAAGAGAGAAATATTGAAGATTCTCTTAGCTGTGAGACAAGGACTGCTAGAGATAAATCAAAATATTATAATATTCTAAGTATTTTACATAGTCCAGGCCATGATTTTCCCAGTTGCAATGTATGGCTGTGAAAGTTGGACCATAAGAAAGGCTGAGCGCAAAAGAATTGAGGCCTTTGAACTGTGGTGCTGGAGAAGACTCCTGCGAGTCCCTTGGACTGCAAGGCGTTCAAACCGGTCAGTCCTAGAAGAGATCAACCCCGACTGCTCTTTAGAAGGCCAGATCCTGAAGTTGAAACTCAAGTACTTTGGCCACCTAATGAGAAGGAAGGATTCACTGGAGAAGAGCCTAATGCTGGGAAAGATTGAGGGCAATAGAAGAAGGGGACGACAGAGAATGAGATGGCTGGATGGAGTCACTGAAGCAGTAAGTGTGAATTTAAATGGACTCCAGAAGATGGTGGAGGACAGGAAGACCTGGAGGAATGTTGTCCATGGGGTCGCGATGGGTCGGACACGACTTCGCAATTAACAACAACAACAAAGTATTTTTGGCTCCACTTTTAAATTGAAAAGGAACATGGGATTTATAAGGCCCACTTCAATTTTTAAAGGAAGATTCCAAAATACTAAAATTAATGAGTCTCAGATTAATGCATGTCATCTTCATTTTAATTGGTGCAGTTTAATAAAACAAATTACTGATGACATCCCACAGTCTTAAACTCTGCTTATTTCTTATTCCTGAGAGGATTATCCATCATCCCCTATGCCAGCCCATCTTCAGTTTCAGCTGTATTTCTGATCCAGGGAACATCTGCCTTCCAGAAGTTAAATCTGATCAGCAATCAAGTCCTCCAACATACCGAGGAAGTCATCAGCAGAAAAGTGATCAGCATCCCACACTTGTAATGTGAGTCGGGCTGGAATCTTGTATTCAGTTTCATCCCAGGAGAACATAGACTCTTTTTTAGAAATTACAATCTTTTCTTCAGCTGCAAGATAGTCGAAAGGAAAGATGTAGCGCCAATTGAAATTGCCCTCTCCTGTCAGTGAATGGTAGTGGACATCAGTATCCTGTTTGTCTTCTTGCTGGCCCTTCAGCCACCTGCATGAACAAAAACAAGGAAGTTGGTCAGAAGAAAGGATGAGATTGGGAAAAAAAAACAGTGAAATCATTGAATGATTGTTCATTCTGGGCCAACTTAATCAGCAGTGTAGAGAGATGACAAAATATAGTTTTGGAAGATGGAGAACTTTGTTTGCAGGAAGACAGAAGAGACCATGAGGAGTGGAGTGAATCTACTTCCAATGTAGTACCCTGTATGGGTTGGACTGCAAGTCCCATCATTCGCAGCCAGCAGATTAATGGGCAATGACTAATGCAAACCAAATACTTTTAAAAGGAACAAAGGAAAATAGATATAACTGTAATGAAGGAACAGGTGAGCCATAAAGGGAGAAAAAATCATAATCATGATTAAATGGAAAGTGTAAGAAAGAAATTCAATTTTTTTTAATATTCTCTTATTATACCCTACAACAGTAGAGTAGCATTCCTGTAATCTCTGAAGTATCTGTTTCCTGATTTGACCTATCTCACAGAGGTGAAACAGACTGAGGAGCACTAAACTAGAAAGTTTTCTCCTTGAGTATGACTCCATGTTATAAGTGAAAAAAGTAGTGACAAAGACCTCAAAATGTAGCAGTCATGAACTTTAGAAGTCCAAGTGATCCAGAGAATACTTTGGATGACTCTGAATGAAGGCAGCTTTAGCCTTGAAATGTTGCCTTTATTACCAGTGTTATGATGGTTTTCAGAAAAGACAGTCAAATATCAGGAAATTCTGCCATTAAACCAAAATTATTTCATAGATTTTCCCAGGAGTTTCATGCTGAGCATTTGAATGATTCTGCTTGATACAGCTGAAAATAGACCATGTCCTCTGTGAGGTTGATCGTTCCATTGGGGTGAGATTGTTTCTGCTCAAATAAGAAGCTTTGCCTACACATGTCCCCAAATGATTGTCCAAAATGCTCTTCCCATCCTCCAAAGCATGCAATAGAGAAGCAAGCCATCCTTGTTCAATGTTCCCATCTGCACAATCTCCTTGCCAAGCCAGGACTCTGCCTCTTGACTGAGAATTGTGCTTCACAAAAAGCAGAACACCCATTCTACCACTTCAATTTCCCAAAGCATGCAGAAAGACAGAAGACAAGAACACTCCACATTCAACCAGAAAGAAGAAAATCACCCTTTACATATACCATACAACTCATTCCTAGACATACAGTATATATAGCTTAGACTGTGGGGTTTGGCAAAAGTATATCTAATTGGGAAGGTGTCAAACTACATCTATGAAATGTTAGGATATATCTTGAATGGAAGGCACATGATTCGCCTGCCCTCTAACAATTGAATCTTTGCACAATCATGAATTCCACAGACAGAAATCTTCAAACTATTCTGCTGTACAACAACTGACTGATGTCTGGACATGCCTTGGGCTATGCAAATATGGAAGAGAAAATCCAAAATTACTAAGAGGAATGTTTTTTAAGTAGAAAAAAAACTCTAAATAGCATTGAGTACATAACCCATTACTGCTTTGTGTTGTTTTTGTCCTTTTTAGAACCACCTAAGACTAAGAGTCAAAAGCTGCTTATTTTGGTGCCTTTTGTGATGATCTACCACAAGAAGGATCAAGGAAAAAGAGAATACTATTCTTCCAGGATCAGCCCATGAGTTGCTTCTGAGTTACTTAGATATTTTGCAGAACAGTTTATACTAAATCATTTGCTTAGCTAACAGAAACATTCTGGATATGCCCACTTAGTTTTCTACTGTTGTTTTAGATGTTTCTGATCACTGCTTCTTCATATGAAGGTATCTCATAGCAGCTGAAACTAATGATCAGTCGCAGGATTTTTTTTGTTTCACTGGCATTAGCTTATCAGACAGGTCTCATGCTTCTTCTAGGCTTCTCCCTCCCTCCTCTTTGACATCTCTTTGACTACATTCCTTATCTTAGATCCTGACTTGCAAGAGATTCTGCTTCCAGTGTTTCCTGCTGGCCCAGGCCTAAGTATGACTGACAGTTCCACACAAATGTGAATGAAAATGCCCCTCCTGATGGTCCATAAGTAGAAGAAGGGGGCTACATGTCAAAATGATGTTCAATTGTTTTCTTTTCTGTATAAGCCACTGGTTGCCTTATCATTATGAGATCCATTGTTTTCTCTCCACTCATGTGCACAACAATGTTCTGATCAAACCAGTGAAACTATGTCAGAGCTCCAAGGCCACATAAGAGAGATTGGTGTATACTTAATAAAATAAATCAAGGGTTCCTTGCTTGGGGACCATCAGGCAGTTTCATTTTTTTGGCAGGTAATACTCTACGAGGCACAGATTTTCCAAACACTTGTGCACATAATGTAGTTGGACATATGAAACAATACTTTGTAAAGAGACTATTAATAGATGGGAAACAAAAGAAGTCAAAATAATAAAAATACTGTTTGATGGTCCAGAATGCTCCTAGTTCACCACAGACTTTATTTTGCTAGGGGAAATTGCTTTGAAAGCAGTTCTTCAGCTCTATCAATACTTGTACCTCCCTATTGTATTGGTAGAACTGATGGAACTTTATGGAGTTCTTTATGGAAAACTAGGGAGGTACACTAGGCAGATCTAAATGGTGGTGCCTCCACCACAGGAATTACAAAGGATCAAAAGTAAACTTCTCTGTGCTTTCTCTTGTTCAAATAGTCCTGCCTCTTGGATGGGCTGAATAATAACTCTTGATCAATAGCTCCTTACTATATCTGACTTCATCATTTTCAAGATAACCCTACTGATGTTCCCAGGAATTGCCAAAAGTTCACACCTAGCTATCACGCACAGCAGACAGTAGCACACAAGAACAAAAACACAGAGAACAGAAGAAAAGGGCAGAACAGAGAAGCAAAGTATCCATTACTGCTGCCTGCACAGAGCAGATGCTTTGCCTATGAAACAATCAGCCATCCTCTGCAGAGATCTGAGAGACAAGCAGCACCAAAATCACAGGAAGCTCACACACAGAATACCCAGCTGGCCCTGAGGGGCAGCATGTACGTACCCCCGGACAAAAATGTCACTGGATTTCTCGCCAGTGAAGTAATCATCGTCCTCCAGGACTACCTCATCAGTGTTCCAGATTATTACTCTAAGTTCATATCTGGCAAGGAGGAAGGAAGGGAGACAGGGGTGAGCAGAGGGGAGGAAGGATAGAGGTGGATTTTGAGGGTATAAGGTTGCCAATAAAAATGATGTGCATATACTTTTAAGACATCCACTCCCACCCAGGAAGATTTGAGCTGCTTGAACAAGGCCATTATATCTTGGGCTTGTTTAGTTTCCATTTCAATTGTTTTGGGCTTATAACTGGAGATGAAAAGCATCCACTGGGACTCCTCAAATTCAAAGTGATGTTCACCCCCTACTGTCCAAAGAAACAGCAGATATCCTTTCAATCCAAATTTGCTTTTAATGATTAAGGACAGGCCAGTATGTGTTTGGCAACATTGATAGAGGATTTGCTATCAAATAAGGGTTTGCTATTCTGTGTTAGTCAGAATAGGGTGTGGACCAAATGAAATCCTATTGATTTTGTCCATAACCCAGTCTCTAACAAGGTAAGGTTCAAATTCTCATGCCTTGACCCAATCTGTTTTGTTTTTGAGATGTTCCAAGACAGCGTAATTTCCCACCAAAGCTTAAGATGGGCAACTGGGAGAAAAAGTAATTCTTACTAACACTGTCTCCTTATTAATCTGTACAGAGATAACTTTCATGTAACAGTCTAAGATGAGACTGTCAGAAAGATACAGAGCTACATGGTCATCTTAACTTTCTCATATGTTTAGTAATAATGATGCTCTGTATAAATATGTATAGGACTTTTGAGTAGTCAGCTCAAGAAGTCCTGAAGAATTCCCATCCAAAATTTGTCTAAGGTAACATGTTTCCAACAGTAACAATCAGATGCTCATAGATAACCCATCAAGAAAAGCCTGAAGAAAACTGCCCTCTGCAGCTTCCAAAAATGGTGATAAAAGATGAATTCCACTTATTCTTTATTATTTAGTATTGTCCATGCCTCTAAAATGTTTAGAATAACTTGTTTATTCATTTGCAATTAATGAATCAAATGCAATTCATGAATCAATGACCATGTTTAGCTTTCCTGAAAAAAATATGGCTATTTAAGAGTTGCCTTAACTTTAATAAAGGATTCATTAAAGCATTAACTTTTTTTTTTCTGGCTCATGAGCAAGCTTGAACAAAGGTTGGAGCCACTTTAATGGATAGAAGAAAAGGCTGAATTTATATATGTGAAGTATGACAATTAATCTGTCTTGTTCCATCAGAAAAGTCATCTCCAAGGACTTGCAGAACTTCACATCTGAACTCAAAGCAGTGCTTTGAGTTATAGGCAGGGATTCATATTGTATATGTGGTAATTTCTTAAACCAAATGCATCTTTTCCTGGGAAATGCATCTTTTCCTACAGAATCAGTTTTTAAAATGCTATAAACATGTTTTTCACCATCCATCCAATTATATAAAAAAACATTGATTTTCAATTACAACTTTCTCTTCTCTCTCTTTCTCTCTCTCTCTCTCTCCCTCCCTCCCTCCCTCTCCCTCTCCCTCTCCCTCTCCTCAGTTGCAGTCATACATTACTCATCCTTTTGCACCTGGAAGATTTCTTGTTTTTCCAGCATGCACTGACCCCATCAGACATAGGACTTTCCAAGTAGAATCCCACCCCCCTCACCCAAACTAGGGCAAGGCATTACTTCTTTGGTTTCCTTGGTGAGATGTCAATGGCAGGGCCTGGTGCCGGCATGTCCATCGGGAACATGTCCACCCATAACTCCAGCCGTCCCTGCAATATTGGAAAGACCCAGTTATTGGTTCCTGATGCCCCCAAGTTTAGCCTCTTACCACTGGCTTCCATTTCCAGGCTCCATGCTTCTTTGTTTATCTTATCTATTGTAGACTCCTGTTCATCCCAATATTTTATAAACATGAGATTAGCCAGGTGATTCATTTTGAATTATGAACAATGGGACACTTCTTTGAAGTACATAAGCTGAATTCAAAGGGAACATCCCTCCTTTATTGCTTTCTCAGTCCAGCAATTAGCATTCAGAGATACATTGCTTCAGAACTTAGAGGCAGTAATAAGTAGTCACTCATATTCTATCAGTCTAGTCAATCAACTGGTGGCTCCTGGACACATGTGTACTTTCAGAGAAACTTATTACCAGTAACCAAGTTCACACTCCTAATTCCCACCTTTTTGCCACTGAACGGTTGCAATGTTAGTCTACTAATGAGCTAGACAGTGGACTCTCCTTCTGCCCAGCTGATTAGCACTAGGAAAACTGTTTTTCTAAAGGGTTACTAAGCTCTTTCACCTTCCCAGTATCAAAATGAAAAGAACAAGAAGGAATAGTAGCTGTGCCAAGAAGGATCAAGGACATTTCCAGCCTATAGAATGATGTCCTTTGCATCTCTAAGGAAAAAGCTATTAAGAAATGTGCCATCCAAAATTTGTTAGTAGTGCACTTTGAGAAGCTCTGAAATGAGTAACTTCAACTCCTGTCCAAGCTTTATGTGAAGCATCTCTAATGTGTTAGTTATGCAGGATGAAGAACTGCGCCCATTTAAATCTAAAAGGACCGTACACCTCCTCCCAAGTTCAAGCCTACAAGTCTTATGTTGTGACCAGTCCTAAAGCCCATAAAAGGAGACAGTTTTAATATTGACTCAATAAATTTCATTTACAAATGAAAAAAAGAAAGGGCTACAACCAGTGTGGACCTCTGCGCAGAAAAAATTATAATGGTAAACTCTTTCCAAAGCTTTTTAGAAACTCCTTTTAAATGATGAGTATCACAATATCTTATGACTGTGTCAACAGTGATCTGATCAGACTCACATGTGTTAAGAAATGCCATAAACTTATGCAGAAAGTGTCTTCTTTAGTGTAATGCTATATTTAGACTTTATAAGAAAGAGTATAAGATACAAACAGAAGTTGTAGCAGAATGTAGATAAATTGATGTGTCAGGCCAACAGAACAGTTTATGTGCAGACAACAATATTGCTACGTACCTGCTCAATGCCTGGCTTGTCTGGGTTCAGCAATGGCCTTGTTTCCACATGCTCAGGCACTAATTTGCAGCCCACACGGGGAATTTCCTCCCAGTGGTGCAACACAGTTAGTGCCAGATGTTCATCTGTCTGCCTTTTCTGACCTGCAAGCATAGAGAACACAGCAATGGTGGCAATGAAAGAATGCAACAAGGTTGGTTGGTTATCTATTTATTGCATGCCTTATCCAAATAGACTCTGGCTAAGGTACCAACTACTCCATGAGAGCCAAATACAATTAAATATACCACAGTAAAGGATTATATTAGCAGAATGGTGTTTGAATAATGGGGTTCAAGTAAAGTAAGCCAAATTTTGTGTTAAGATTAATGGAATGTTTTCACATACATTTTCTGAAAATTAAGTAAATCAGTATAATTTTGCTTGTTTTGAATAACTTAATTTTATTTATTTATTACCAGAGGAGAAAGAAGGCAAAGTGAGGAACAGAAAGTTATCTTCACAATTCAAATTACCGCTCATTCTCATTCTCAATTTTAACATTTCTTTAATAATTGTGGACATTTTACAGCCATGAGAGTGAGGACTTTGATTTTTGGAAGATAAAACATTGATTCTCAGGATTCTGAATTCTATGTCAATTTCTAAAGTCAATATTTTTACACTATAATAACAAATTTGGTTATAAAATAATACAAGGTTATGCTTAATAAACTCATACATCATTAAAGTGCTTTGATTTTCAAGATTTACCATTTTCATCCTCCACTTCAGTGGGACCAGTGAAGACTCGATTGGTCACCTTCACCCTGCCTCCAGGGCCATAGTGGGGACCCTCAGCTTTACCTTCTTTACAAAGCTTGGATAGGATTTGGCTAGGCTTTTGAGGATCTCGCCACATATTGTATCCATGGCTGTGGAGAGAAATGTAAGATTTTCAGATCAAGTCCTCGGGCCTGTAACTTCACAAAGGTGTAATCCCACTTTTAACAGATGCTCTTTTAAAATCAGGATGCTGTTTTAGTATATTGCATTGGTAAGTGGAAGAATGATTTATGACCCTGGAATGTATTTTTTGATATACAAATGAGATCATCTTAAACAGGTGGGCTATATCTAGATCTGAAACACTGTTCTTACTTGCATCTTATGTCAGCTGACCACACATGGCTGATAGAGGGGATACAGTTAACGGATCCAACATACAAAGGAAGTGCTATAGCTGTTGAATTAGGGCACCTATGCCAAAATCCTATTAGGTTTTGCATTAAGCTCTGTTCCCTCTATCTATCATGAGCAGTCAGTGTTAGAATAATCTAAGAGCATGACTTGGTGAAAAAAACTTCCTTTATTCCTAAAAATGTTATATGTTTGTTTCTTAAAATATTCATATGCCAGTCTTATCTACAAGACTTCCTAAGACATGGGCAGGTTTGGAAATCAGGGATGTGATTTACTGTATATCTTTCCAAAGATTGAAGAGATAGGTTTGGGGGTGAGTTTTTATCCTGGTACTTTCTTATTAAAAAGTAGACCCATAATTTGGGTGAGAAAGGGCTGGCTTTTGGGACAATCATTAGAACATTATTTCAACATTTTAAAATAATGAGAAAGTTAAAAATTCTTACAGAGCATAGGTCCAAGAAATGCCACATGTTGCTCTATGCTTGCTGTAGTACCGGTTCTCCAGATCTATCTTTGTCTCACCAATCAGATCATCCGAGCCCACCAAGTCCCAATCATAAATAGCCACTGTCAACATGGATTCCATGGGGAAAGTAGCCTCAATGTCAAAGGATCTACATGGGAGAAAACACGAACAACAGCAAATGGGATAAAGTTTTCCATTGAAGAGAGTGTTATGGAGAAACCTAGAAGACATCCTTTGACTATTTCAAAGAAACTTTGTACCTGAGGTATGTTGATGGCTAAAAAGAGCAAGAAAATGTAGAACTATAAATGAAAACAAAGACTTGGAGGATTCAGGATTCAGCTGCACTAAAGTTAGTTCATTAAGCCCATGCCATTGCATATGTGCTCCTATTTTTCATAGTAACATCTAGTAACTTGTTTTTTTAAGTACATAAATAATATCTAAATGCCTTAACTGGCTTCCATGTAATCCTGTAGTATTTAACACTCATTCTGATTCACCAGGGGCATCTCTTACTTTCCAAAGACTGGGTTCAGCTGTTTAGAGATGTAATTCTCCTTGTCTTTGATATCTGTCTTTCCCAGTTTGATGACAACATAAGGATCAGCTTTGCCATTGATGTCAGCAGGATGCAAATCAGTAGCCTGGAATAAAAGTCAACCAACAATCAAGAGAAAAAGACTTTAAAGTGGGGGTACTTCCTCTAAGGTAGGGCTCATCAAAGGGGTCAATGTCACATCTCAATTGTCAATGGGACTATCCATTACTGTTGTTGTTATTATTGTTTGTAGTATTAATTAAAGAAGTATTTATCTAATTCATGCAATAAAAATTTGTGGATTGATGAACAATCTGAAACTTCATAAGGGGATTCAGTCAGCTGAAAACTTTGGAGAACCCTGCTCTAAAGGAACTTTTCCCAGAAAGTTTCACGTAATACTTTTAGTGTTACAAAATGACCTTTTTAAGTCTCTCAAACATGTTAAATTTAGTGTTTTCAAAACTTAATTGTTTTACTGCTATTTTTTATTGTGATTTTATGCCTTCATTACTCATGATAATTGCTGCTCCTGATTTTCGTGTTACTACTTTAATAATACATTTTCATTGAATGCACATCAGTTTGTTTTTTGGGTGATCTATAAATTAAATCAAGTGTTAAGTTGACAAAGCAATTCTAATAGGGACCCAAGGAGCCCTTCTACTTCTTTGGCTGGCCAGCTAGATGGAGTGCTTTGGACTTCTCAAGAAGTACAGAAGTTAGGAGACAGAAGCCTAGAAAAAGTGAGCACTAGGAAAGGAAAATCCTTAGCAGGCAAATCTATTAAACTTTAGGGCACATCTGCTCTAGAACTGAAACTTCAAAATTTTGCAGAACATTCCTCTTTTTAGCTGGCCCAATAACCAACTAGCACATGAACCCTACTGAGAGAGCAAACAAGTGTATAGACGCCAGCAAAATAGCATACATTTATTAACCCCCAGGTGAATAGCACTGCAATATTTCAGAGATTCCTGGGGCCCTTCTTCTTAATTTTCTTCTTCTCCCTATCCCCTACCCCCACCCTAAGCTTATAAAATCTGTTCCTAATTATTCAGGGGAAGGCATAGCAACAAATCATTTTTCCTAAAATTTGGAGAGTCAGTACTCAATAGCAAAAAGCAAACAAAAGCTTAGACTTTCTAGATAAAACACGGAAATCTAAAATTTCAGAGGAGGAAAAGTTCAGTGCTCAGATCTGGAATGGACATAAGAACAAAATGGCCTTGAAAGCTGTTCTCACTTGTTCTCACCCTCACAATGTAGACCCGGACCAACACATTGATGGGATCATTGCTTGGAATTCCTTGGAACATGCCAAAAGTAGGGTCATATCCAGCCTCCTTGGTGATATCATCAGGAAGAGGCACTTTATAAACAGACAGGGACCCCTGGGACTGAGAAGATACAATTTTAGCCCAATTAAAAGTCCATCTAGGTTTTGGCAAAGAAAGCAAGAAGGAAGCACCTACTAAGCTCTCTTTTTCCATCTTCTGTATGCAGGCCTGTGACACAACTGTATCAGTGTTTTGTGACACATTAAAGTTTAAACAGTATAGTGCAATCAAAATTTTTGTGGCTCTAATAGAATTATACGACACTCGGGAATATTTTAAAATAAAAAAGATAAAATGTAATAAATACCGGTAAGTAACTTACAAATGATTTCCACAAGAGAGCTGTATTTAAGGAGGCATTATTTTTTCAGCTGTTGGAATGGTGACAAAATATTTGCCTACTCAGCAAAGTCAGTGAAAAAAAATATTCCTTAGTGCTGAACTGGTGTCATGACAATGATCACATATTGCATATTTTGTTCTTACAATCTGCAAATGCTCTATACAAGTTTGACTGATGGGGGTGCTGCAAATGGTTAGAGCAATTCCAAACAATACTTTCACTGGCTTTTTCCCCTCGTGTAGAAAAGAGAGATCACTCTTTTCTCCCCCTAAAGCAAATGCGAGAAGAGGTACACTGTGTATATATTGGAGAAGAAATAACATTTCAAAGACTTGTACTCTTCTTTAATTTGGATTAAAATTCCTAATTTATCTATCCATCTTTTCATTCATTCTATTAATCTTGCTAAAGCCCCATTATCTTAAAACAAGACCTGTTTAACTGAGCAAATTCTCTGTTCAAGTCAAAAGAGGAGTGAAATCAGATCCTTTCTTTGCCTTTCTGGCTTGCCAGAAGTCCACCAGGATTAATAAAATTGGAAATGAGTCAGTGGAATTTCACACTCACCTTGAATCTTCCCACAATGCGATCCTCATCTGCAGAATTGTCATCATCATCTCCAATCTTCCCACGAAGGAGGTTGAAAGTATGCAGCCAGTCCTCAAAATTATCAAATTCTGTCTCCAGTTCTTTGGGATATACCTCGATAGGATGGTGAAAATAATATAATTTGGGCCTCTGACTATTACAATAATATATTATAGACTTATTCAGGAACAGTAATACTTATTGATCAGAATCAAGATATTTTGCTGATGCATGGTGGACAGCCATTCCTACCCCCAGCTTCAAAATGTGGTCCTTGATCCTTTTTTATATATAAAAAAAAAATATGAAGAACATCTCTAAACATACAATAATATGCAAGAATGGAACCACCCAAATAGATGACATCTCTTTTCTCTATTTCTTTTCCAGTTTTCTCACCCCTCTGAAAGTCATATTTTTATCATCATTTATGATATTGCAAAATATCATTGTTGCCACAAGTTTTATTTCATTTCATTTGTATCTTCCTTCTCCCATTCTCATCACTGATGAACAGCACCTACACAGTAGAGAATTCCACTGTGATATTGTATTTGTGTGCATGTGTATTTTATTTTGCAGAAGCACACTTCCTCGTAAATAAAATATCATATCAAAAGAATAATGAAGCAAAGAATGTGAAAAGCTTTAAAAATAAGGTCAACTTATTTAATCAATGCAGTAGAGGTATACTGACAATTTACAGCAGCTACAGTACATTCATTGTGGTAGCCTTTAGGTGTATTGAATATAATTGTTGTTATCTTCAACCAGCATGCCCTATCAAAATATCGGGGAAAAGGCGGCTGAAAGGCATTGAAGAAATGGATGAACAAAAGGAATTGTAACCAGTTTTGTATACAATTGAACTCTCCCCAGAACTGAAACAGGTGAGGGGGTTAGGTTGACATTCCTTTTCTTCAGAATTTCTGATGTGGAATGGTAGATTTACTAGAACAAGGCTTTTCAACCAGTGGTACGGGTACCACCTGTGGTACATTGGCACCTGGCAGGTGGTACGCAACCATCCTAGAAAAGTGGTAGCGGGGGAGGGGAATGAACTGAACCGGTGGCAGCACTGCACAAGCCTGAGCGAGAGATGGCTGGAGCTGCAGGGCTGTCAGGGCTCAGCAGAAGTGCCAGGATCAGTGCCAGGCTCCAGCTGGAACTCGTCGCTGATCCTGGCACTTCTGCCGAGCCTAGAAGAAGCATCGATCAGCTAAAATGTTGCAGGATCTCCAAGGTCTTGTGATTTACATTCAGATGCTTGGCAACTGATTCATATTTATGATGGTCAAGTGTCCCAGAGTCATGTGAAGTGACCAAAATCTGCTGCAACACCCAGCAGACGGGGGGAATAAAAACCAAACACCCCCCCACCCCACCCCCGCTACCAATCCTCAGTAGAAATGCTCATAACAATGAAAACCTCGGACAGGAGGAAGAACGCCGCCAGGTGGGCAGGCAGGTGTCTTGTTCGGCTGTGGCTTGGGGGGCACTTTTTTCAATGCCATTGTAACTTCAAACAGTCACTAAGCGAACTGTTGTAAGTCGAGGACTACCTGTACTTCATCAATGCAAAGCCATGGCTGGATAAAATGTTTTTCATCAAATTAGGGTTGGAAATAGCTCACCTTCATCTCATCAATCTTCTGCTTGTTCTTCTTTTCAAAGGCATCTGGCTGCTGCTGCTGCTGCTGCTGCTGTTTTTTCTTTTTGTCCTCTTTGGATAATTTGACTTTGTCTTTGGTCTTTCCTTGGGCTTTTATGCCTTTGAGAGGAGAGTCATCAAGTCTCATTTCTGAGCTCCCAGAGAAGAGCAGCAGATATGGATGGCAAGAATAAGAAGTTTGGGGTAGGGACGAGATAAAAAAAACAAAAAATCAGGCAATGGCATACATGAAAAGTGACAGAAAGCTAGTAAAAATTAAAGTTTGCAATACTGATTTAGCTTCCAGTCCTGAAATGATCATGCAAGCAAGCACCTTGTGCTGGTTATGAATATTCAACGTATTCTTGGGGCCCTGTGGTTTCTTATTGGACAGATATTTCATTACCTGAACTGACAAATATCATAAATGAAGTGAATGTGTTTATAGAATCAGAACCAAACAAGAGAAAAGCTACTATGGCTGACACCCCTTTTTGGTGGGAATAACAAGGAGTTGCCATCATCAGCTATTGCTCTGTTTACAATCTACACAATTAGCCTATGACACTCTGTAACAATGATAAAAGAGGAGCCTGTTTGAAAACTAAATTGATAAACTTCGTTTTCAGCTAGTCGTACAGTTTCTAAAATGCAGATACTAAAAACAGTGTGGTGCTAAATATACCCCCCCACCACCACCACATCTATACATATAAACTGCATTCACTACCAAACCTGTGATATGCTACTACTCTCTTCATCCCCCGGAAATATGAACTGCTTGAAGTTCCCTTGTTAAAAACAAAAAACAAAAAACATTCTCAGCATGCTGAACTGAGCCCAAGTAGCAATAGGGGGAAGAATCATCAGAAACCTGTGGCCTGGTAAACTACAGGTGGTCCTTGACTTAAAACAGTTCATTTAGTGACCATTCGAAGTTACAGAGGCACTGAAAAAGGGAGTTATGACCGTTTTTCACTCTTAGGACTGTTGCAGCATCCCCATGAGCAAAGTCATGGGGGAAGCCAGATTCACTTAACAACCATATCATTAGTTTAGCAGCTGCAGTGATTCACTTAGCAGATGTGACAGGAAAAGTCACTTAACAAATGTCTCACTTAGCAACATAAATTTTGGGCTCAATTGTGGTTGTAAGTTGAAGACTACCTGTAGACTGCTTCTGTTCACTGACCATACCTCAAAGCATGCTAGCCTAGTAGGAAGGGATAAGCAATGAAGTCACATGGATGGACTTAACTAAAGTATTCCTATATCATGCTGTCATTTCTACCATCTCTGTCTTTTCCCCCCCTTTGTTTTGCCTTTGCCTTTCTTTGCCCTGAAATATAGTGGGTCGAAGATATATAAGATCTGGTTCTGCTTTTGCTCATAGCCACGAGGCAAAGTATCAAAGCTTTGATGGGGGTCCAATACATGCTGCATTATTACTTGCATGCATGCATGTATGTAAAAATATGTTCTGTCTTTAAAGTGATCTGGTTATTTTAGGAGAGCTAGTTTTTGGCCACAACAACAGATTAAGAGGAGATTTAGAATGGCAAATGGCTATTATGAAAACAGTATGACTGTTATGAAAAAGTATCCTTCCCCCCCCCTATATTTTCTACTAATTTAAGCAGTGTTGTTTTATAAACTCCCACGAGCATCAATATACTCCTCAGAGGAAATCTTTGTATATCCTCATAAGGATATTGTCCTTCAGTACAATCTTGTGTCCTTCACTTTAGCACCATATGCCATTCCCAATATAGGGATTTGCTAAATATGACTATGTATTGATCTTTAATTGTTCTGTAAGTAGACAATCAATCAACAAGGGAAATACTTCCTTATTAAAGAGCTGCAGTGAAAAAAAAATGTTTTGCCTGCTTATTGTTGGAGAGAGTTTTCTTTGTAACGGAAGAACCACAAGGTCTCCTCTCCTGTTTCTTTCTCCTCTCACTTTTCAAATATTTACCCTCAGTGGTGTCCATCTCTTCTTTCTCTTCAGCTTCTGCTGCAGCTGCCTCTTGCTGCCGAAGTAGCTAGAAAAATGAAGGTTAGCCAATGGAATGGTTAAATATAGCACAATTTCTCTTCCAACACATGGACAGTAATCATTTATCAAACAACAGAAATACAGAGAAAGGTGAATTCAAATGCAATACTTCCTGTTTTTATCCTTTAACTCAAGACAATAAATAATACTTTCTCTCTACTGCTTGTTACTTCTTTGAAATCTTCTACCATTAGTGGGCTGACTGTTTCTTTGACTATTTTCTTGTTTTTTTATGTGTTGAAAGAAACTTTTTAAAATTGTTTTTGAAATTTGTTGCAAGCCTTACTTTCTTCAAAGCCTTAGCCTTCCTAACTTCATCTTTGCAGGTTTGGGTTATCTGTTGATGTTCTGATTTAGATATGTGTCCCTCTTTCCATTTTTTTTAACCTATCCTTTTTTCCCTCTCAGTTGGTCTGAGAGTTTTTTGTGCAACCATGTTATTTTTTTCTTGGTTTTCTTTTGTTAGTGATATTGAACTGGATGAGGTTTTTATAATTCCATTTTTCAGAGTTCCCCCAGCTTCTTGAGTTGATTTCCCCTTACAGTGAAATACAATGTAACACAATGGAAATACAGGAATAGAGCTGAGCTTACCCTTTTAATATGGGTGATTAGTACTGTAAAGATTCAGATAGTTCTTTGGAATGTAGACTATGAAGTCTGAAGGGGAGGGACATAATAGAGTGATTCCCCCCCCCATGGTAAGAATAGTAGAAACATACCACAACCAATTTAATCTAAAAAAAAAAAAAGACTGCTTTAGGATTGTTTTTAACAATGCGTTAAAAATAAATGAATTTGGAAAGGCCAAGTATATCTCATAATCAGGAATACAGAGTTGGATTAATGGGCATATTTTGTTCATGAAGAATGAAATCTCACATGGATCTCACATAATCTTTCATCTAAGTAGGATAATATTGTCAGATGAATTACTAGATAGTTCTGAGATCTTCTTCTTTCTCTGACATCTAAAAGGGTCCAGGGCCTGCAGGCCATAAACTTAATGAGAACCTTCGGAATATCCATCCTGCTTGCCAGTGAGTTGCCCACCTTCATAGTTTCAATGGAAGCAAAATACTTGGACCACCAGTCCAGCATGCTCTCATCAGGCTCCTCATCCTCAGCTTCTTCTGCATTTCCTTTCTTCTTTTTCTTCTTTTTCTCCTTCTCTTCTTCTGTCTGTAAGAGAGCGGAAAAGAAGTGAGAGATAGTTATGAAATGCAAAATAAATTTCTGCCAAAGATTCTAGAGAGACACATTCAATCAATGCAGAAAAATCCAGACAGTTTAATTTCTGTACATCTAGACCCATGTTTCTCAACAATTCTTGAGCAATTCTGGGACTTGAAGTCCATACATATTAAATGGCTGAGTTGAGAAACAGTGCTCTATAGAATAGCTGAGCTACCTTGGCCTGTGAGTCACAGGTAGCATACTTGGTGCAATATTTTGTGTGTACTTAAATTTCTTTTTGTAAAATAGGAGGATTATACTGTAGCTATAATTCACCCAACACATGTATTTTATGGAAGTCCTGTAGCTTCTCCAAACAGAAATTATAGCCCCTCTGCCTTTGGGGTGCTAGAATATTCTAAGAACTAATTCAGTTTTTGAATGGATCATTATATCCTGCAAATCTAGAAAATTGGTTAATTGATTATCTAGGTTAGTATGTTGTGTGACTCAGTCAATAAATTTGGGCAACGGATGGACTTTTCAGAAAGTGGATAAATGGAGAACATACTGACTGAAAAGGGCTGTATATGAAGAGAAGGGAACTATATTATGTAATTTTGAAGAGGAAAAAGGGCATTTATGTCTGTAAAGAAGATTGAAAGTTGCTTCTTAAGTATTTCTTTTTTTTCTTTCTCAATTTCTACTGTTTTCATCATTTTTAGTTTTATCTTTTTCTTTCTTTTCAACTTGTTCAGGTTTATATCATGTAATTTTGCAAAAATATTATTTAATAAAAATTATACACATGCATACACATACACATACATATATGTATGCATATAAGTAAACACATACTGGTATATACAGTAGTATACATACAGATACAAACATACATATAAAAATGAATTTGGGCCATGGCAGCAGATACTGCAATAAATTAGTTTATTTTCTAACAGATTTATTGAAGTACCTGTTACCATGGCCCAAAATCATTTTTATATTTTTGTTTGTATCCATATGTATCTATATCTCCCCAACATTTCTTCCTTACACTAAAACTGCAATTTATGTTATAAGCTGAGAATTCCAAGTATGTCTGTGTTAGTGTGTTTGTATTTGTGTGTGTGTAATAGCAAAGGACCTTGGGAAAAACTTTCCTCAAACTTTCAGGAAGAACAATGAATATCTATCAGTCTCAAATATTTACTGGTCTATTCTTATTATACATAGGCCATCCAAGAAGGGAGCAATTTCAGCTTATTCCCTGAATGTAAGAAGATCATGTTACTATAAATTGTTTCCAGATGCCAGAGAAGATGTTTTAGTAAGACACATATAAGCACTACTGTCACTTACCACGTCCACCTTCACAACAGCATCAGAATTCTGTCACCAGAGAAAGGACTGTGGAATGGAGAAAAACAAGGGAGAGTTAATAAAATGAAGGAGAGTTATTGCTGTCTGTAGCACACATACTTGAACATGGGGTACAGCATCTTTGAGCCACTGGGGAAGCCCAAGCACATATCTGATATCAAACAAAAAAGGAAGATAACACACAGCCCAAATCAATGGAAGGAATGTTACAGATGGATGAAGAAGCTTAGGGTGCTGTTCTGCCCAGATTTGTTGCTAGATCTCTAATTCATACATGCAGAATAGCTAATGATAAATTCATTTTATTTTTATGCTTTATGTAAGATCATCAGTGAACAATTCTTTTATAGCATGTATAGGCAAACACTGGGCCATAGATTCACTGAAACTCTTTACCACTTGCTCTTCGGGGACCTTGAATAGTCTTCTCCATCTGATGCTTCAGATGTTTTGGAACAATAGCAATTCTTCTTACAGTGACTAGGAATTCTCTGAGTTCTGGCATTCTGACTGCAGGGCACCTGGTTTGGGGAAAGGTATCCTGCCCCTCTCCCACCCCTCCATTTTTCTTGTCATCCAGCTGTTCACCATCAACTGGGTAAAACATGCCAAACTCAAAAGCATTCTGTTAGGAAGACACTCATTTTGAAAGTATGTACAGTTTCAATACTTGCCAAAATGTTTGATTTGAAAAGCACGAAGCAAGCACTCTTCCCAGTATGACTTTGGAGAAGACTCCCAAGGGGTAATATAGAAATCAAAGGTCATTCTGGGGGATAGGAAGATCTGTATTGCAAAAGTCTTGCAATGGAATTTAATGTTCATGGAAGTGAAAAAGGAAAAAAAAAGTTCCTCTGGTAAAGAAAATTATAAACTAGGAAAGCATGTGGAGATAATCTATATGTCATACTAAATATGTCAGGACTAACAGAATACATACCTCTTCCTAAATACCAGAATAGAATTGGCTTGTCAATGTCCCCCCCCCCCCATTTCATGCATTACATTTGTTTAAAAAAATATGAGCTTCTTTACTGATAGGTAACCAGGAAGGTCAGGCATTTTGAAGGGTGATAAACATTCTTTAAATATTATCCATGCCCACAAACACCATGATTTTAAAAAATGCCTTTGGAGAAGCCAAAGTGTCATAAATCAATGAAGGGGAAGAAGCCCAGCATTTTGAGCCAGATAGACACATTTATCATTCTGAGAACATATTGTGGGAATGCTTGCAAAGAGGCTGCTGAAACAATAGCTCATCCAACTTGCACTCCCAAATCAGGATACTCAAGCACTCTTGATGGTCCTAGTTTTTTTCTAGATAGGTAGACTCTTCCAAACAAAGTTCCATGCACAGCCATCCATTATGCCTTTAGACCTGTAGATTTCACCTGGCTAGGAAACTCCCTTGATGGCTGACACATCAGTTACTACTTGCTCAGAAGCCAATGATTTCGAGTCCCTGACTTGAATAGCAAAAAAGAGAAAAACTCAGAGAGGAAGTCATTTGCTCCCATCAATTAAAAAGAATTTACTATGCTTCAAGGCACATTCAGAACAATCTAAATTATTTCAGACAGAGTGGTGCAGGAATTGGATCTCAAAGTTTCATTGACCACTATAATTAAAATGCTGTCTTGTGGATCAGACCTGGTTTGCCTTTCTTCAATTAATCTTGAGATAGATTAATGGGATTGTACAAAAACAAAAATGCTTTACCTGTCTTTCCAGATTTCTTCTCTGAAATAGAGTTTCTACACTTTCAACCCAATTCCCAAAACATGATTATCCATTTGTATTTTGCCCTTTAACTGAATGCAACAAGCCAACGTTTTTTCCTACATTCCTTTGGCTAGACTCTATGCAGCATGGAAGCTTTAAGGCCCCACTTTTGCCTCATTTTCACCTGCCAGATAAACAAGACTATAATTCCCAGCACTGCTTTTACAGAATTATAGAATAACAGAGATGAGGATCTTCTAGTCCAACCCCCTGCTCAATTAGGACACCCTATACCATTTCAGAGAAATAGTTGTCCAAACTCTTCTTGAAAACCTCCAATGATGGAGCATCCACAACTTCTAGAGGCAAGCTGTTTCATTGTTCTGCCAGGAAATTTGTCCTTAGTTTCAAATTGGATCTCTCTTTGTTAAGCTTCCATTCATTACTTCTTGTCTTGCCATCAGATGCTTTGGAGAATAGGTTGATCCCCCTCTTTTTTGTGGCAGCCCCTTAAATATTGTAGGACTGCTATCATATCACCCTTAGTCCTTCTTTTCATTAAACTAGATATAGCCAATTCCTGCAACTGTTCCTTATATGTTTTAGTCTCCTATCCCCTAATCATCTTTGTTGCTCTTCTCTGCACTCTTTCCAGAGTCTCAACATCTTGTTTATATCATGGCAACCAAAATTGGATGTAGTATTCCTAGTGTGGTCTTACGAAAGCAATATAAAGCAGTAATAACTCTTCACATGGTCTTGATACTATCCTTCTGTTGATGTGTTGATGCAGCCTAGAATTGTGTTGGGTTTTTCTGGCAGCTTTCCAAGACTTTCTCTTTCTCCCTCCCTCTCCTTCTTTGACTCTGAAGTTGCCTGTTGCAATATGTATAAAAGTATATATTGTTCACATGGGCTCTACTCCTCACTGGTAATAATCCCAAACAGAATAAAAGTAATCAGCAGCTGATAACTTCAAAAATCATTCAGATGCACCAAAATTTAATTCACTCTCTTTTTGTTTTGTTTTACTAGTCTGCACTGTGATGCTCTTCAGTATTTTGAAATTGATAGCTAATTTTCCCTACTAAGATAATTAATATTAATTATATATTTGCTTTTGTTATTCATATTAAAACAAAAACACCACCACTCAATCTCAAATGATACATACTAAATTTAAATAGGTTTTGTTATTAAAAGTATTTTAAGTGGAATTGGAACATTTTATCTGTCATTACTGGACCTCAATCCATCAGAACACATTGTTTGGTCCCTGGTGGATATAAGGTATATTTGGAGAAATTCTTGTGTCATGTTTCTGAAGCACATCTGGTAACAGTTCTGAGTTCAAAATAGTGGGTTCAAGTGTTCAAAGCTCTAAATAAAACCCTTTTTGTTTTGAAATTTGGTCTGAACATTTTGTTCCATGTTGTTTTGAGTGTTGTAATGTTCCCTGATTGAACTGTGTTTTTTTAATTAACCCCCACTTCCCAATAAATGAGCAGTGGAGGGAAGTGCAGATGAGGAGATGTGGTTAAGTACATGTATAGAAATATTACTTTGATATTAAAAAAAGACCATTGCTTGCCTGGTAGTTAAGTTTACCACTATTTCTAAAATTAGGAGAGGTACTTTGGCTTCTTTCTCAGATACACCATCATTGGAAAGTGTGCCCTGTGCACTTGAGTATGAGACAGAACTCCTATTTTTCAGTTTTTCCAATTGTCACATGGAAAAAGCATCATGCTTGAGTTTGGGGGCAGACTGTCAAATGTAGAAAATGGACATGGCATATTCTAATAGGGGGAACTAACCACTCACAGGTAGGAAACAGAGAACTTGAAAAGGAGTAGGTTAAAATCTCTGCTACCCAACAGTTTTTCACAAGAACATTGCTTTCTTCCATTAAAAATAGGCAAGAAAAATTTAAGGAACACTTAAAGATGTGTTGGGGGGGGGAACTGGGGGGAGGCAGACTTTAATCATGCATTATTTCCCAGGAATTCTAAGTATATAGTGTGCATCAATGTGAGAGAAAGGGTGTGATTTGTACGCACTATCTTTGCCCATTTCTGTAATTCCCAAGACTTCATAAGGGCAAGAGCTGCTCTCCACCTCAAAAAATACCCTTGCTCAAAAGTGTGAGCAATCAAAACACAACTGATGAATTAATATACCAACAAATCAGAGGAACACTCATGAGATCACCATTCTTGGGACTCATAGCAAAGTTCATAATACAGCATCTGGAAACTGTAGCACTTACACAGATACAACTAAAAGAATGGATTCAGTATGCAGACAACACCCTCATAATAAAAAGGAACAACTATAGAAGACACATGAAAAAATAAACATCTTCAAAGGAATAAAATTCACAAGGGAAGAAGAAAACAATATACTACACTTCCAGAGGAAGTGATGGCAAATTAGAAATGCAAGTCTATTGAAAAACAATCCACACTAACCAGGTATTCCATTACCAAAATTACAGTCCAGCTTTCCACAAGAGAGAGAAGGAGAGAGAGCAACCTAGAACTAAGGAGAGAAGCAACCTAGAACTAAGGAGAAACTTCCTGACAGTGAGAACAATTAATCAGTGGAACAGCCTGCCTCCAGAAGCAGTAAATGCTCCAACACTGGAAGTTTTTAAGAAGAGACTGGACAGCCATTTGTCCGAAATGGTGTAGGGTTTCCTGCCTGAGCAGGGGGTTGGACTAGATGACTTCCAAGGTCCCTTCCAACTTTACTACTATTACTATTACTAGGTAAGATATTATTCAGATAAGTACAAAGACATCACAGTAACCCAGAACACCAGAAAAAAGACAAAAAACAAACCAGCTTTACAACATCTTCCAACAAAATGGATATCCACACAATTTTATCAAAACGTGCTTGACTCTCAAACCACTATATTACAACCACTAAAGCTACAAAAAGGATAACATTACATACATCAAAACCATCTCAGAAACTATCAACAGATTATTATACCCAGAAGGCATCACCACAGCACACATCGCTATAGCACACAAATCAACTAAAGCCTCTAAATCATTTTAAATGAACCAAAAGCCCAAGAAGAAAAATGCAGAAGTTATCTACAACAGGGGTCTCCAAACTTAGCCACTTTAAAACTTGTAGCATGGATGGTTGAGGAATTTTGGGCATTGAAGTCTACAAGTTTTGAGACCCTTGATCTACCACATACAGTGTAATGACTGTAACAACAATATGTAGAATAGATAGGCAGAAGGCAGAGCGTATCCATGAATATCAACTAGTAGTCAGAAGACATTATAAAAATTCCTTAATCTCACAACACATGGATAGACCCAACCATAGTTTCTGGGAGTTTGCTGAATGTAAACTGAGCTGTAAATTACACACAGTAATTTTCCAACAAGGATAGGAACAAAGGAGAAAAACAAAAGACAGATGGAAAGGAGCAAACCCAGACTTCATTATTTGAATGAAAGACTGATCAGAGATCCAATCTTTTGGGTGCCATACATCAAACCCTTTAGGACTTCTGTAATTCATCCTTGATCCTTCTTACCGCTTCCAACTTCACCATGGTCTCCATCTTCTTGATGGGAATCTCTGGCTCCATGTTAACCACAATTTCACCTGTGGGGTGAGAGTAGGGCCCCCCATTTGCAAGAATCACATAGGCGTTCATAAGTTTAGCTGGACAGAAAATAAATAAATAGGGAAAAAACAAGAGTGCATAATAGGCACACACAGGAAAGAGAAAAAGAGAGAGCATAGATATATGAAATATTTTAGATTGAAGTTGTCTGAAGATGAGACAAAGTATATAACATTGAAGAATGAAAATCTGGTTGAAAAAATGTAGAAGAAATTGTGGAGGAACCTGGAAAATCTGGTTGAAAAAATGTAGAAGAAATTGTGGAGGAATCTGGAGTTTAAAAGAAAAAAAAACCCTCACAATAGTAAGAAGCAAAATATTGAATATATGTGATCACTGTGATGGGATCATCTATCACCAAAATCATTTTGTATTACATAACTGATTTTCTAATTCCACTGAGTATATCATTTGGCCAAATATTGGAATAATTTAAGTACAGCTGTTCTGGATCGTATAACTCTATATAACCCTGACTAGAGCAATGTCTGTATGTTTGAATATCTGGCATTTATTGGGTTAAGTGCTGTCTCCTTAAGAGATGGCTTATGGGAAATGTAGTCAGTCATCCCATGTTAATGGGTCAGTGGGAGGAGTTTCTAAAGGGCTTTGGGAGACTTCCTGGACACAAGCCAATTTGGAATGTCTTTGTCTAAAGAGAAGCACGGGCCATCGGATGTCACCTGATGACCCTGTTCCGCTATAAAGATGGTATGGAGAGAGCATTATCTTCTCACCTATCGGAATGAATAGAGATGTATTTTTCAGAAGCCACCAGCATAAATGCAAGTAATATCTCTAAATAAATATATTTTTGTTATGAAATTATTCCTATTGAGTTTATCTGTCTGACCCGGGTTTACAACACAACTTAATTCTGGGTCAGAATAATAGCCATTATCATTACTGCCACATATTAGGCGGAAGAAGCAAAGTCATAGATATGCAACATCTTCGTTTGTTAAGGCTAACATAAGAATGACTCTCCTAACACACTAAAACTTAAAACTTGAAATAACAGAATATAATTAAATGTTCCCATAATCTTCTATGTCTGAACAAATAAATTATATTATGTTTTGTTATTAGAGACTAATTCACATAATGTGCTTAAGACAATATCTCCTAACACTCTGAATTTGCTCAATGCTATTTCAACTAAGTTTAGAGTGTTGACTGAACTCAGCTAGAAACCTTATCTATTGTGAGATTTGAACATAATCTCTTCAACATCTTGCTATGAAGAGCAATTTGCCATTCACCCTCAGATTTCCCATTTTCTTCTGTGCCAGCAAACTATCATCTGGATTCCTTGGTGCTCTCTGAGCTTGGATGTTTGATAATTTCATTATCAAACTAGGTAACATCATCACCATCAGTGCAGTGTATTGATGAGATTACCTAGTTTGGTAAGGAAACATCTGCTAGAAAACAACTATGCTCAGAGAGCACCAAGGACTCCACAACTGAACCCTGAGCTACAAATATTCTCTTCTATTGGTATTATCTGGATTCTTAGAATGTATTAATAAGTCATGCTCTTGGCCAATGAGGACAACCAGTCCATAAGTTGATCTTCTCCTGCCATCTATTCCCATAGCATGAATTCTCTTTCATTCCCTACCTGCAGTGCTCCAGTGCTGAGACTTCTTATCTGGAGGTCTATAGATGAACTTCCGTAAAGAATTGACAGCATGGCTCCCCACAAGGGTGTAACGCCCAAAGGCACGGCAATCCACTACACGAATATTGAGGGGTGGATGTAGGAGTTCGTTTTCAGGCAGATCCTGAAAAGAAAAATAAATACAAGTCATGGATATTGATCAGGTTCTGGTATTTAAGAAAGAAGCACAGAGGAAACAAAACTGCTTTTTAAATAAAGGCTATGGATTTATTAAGCTTAATATATTGTCTGTATTGCTAAAATAGGTATCTCGAATGCTCTCCATAAGCTTTGGATTTCAACTACCATTAGTTTTAGCTAGCATGGTCAACACCAGTGAGTTGTTTAGATATCTGGAGAACTTTAGCCTGCTAACCTTGGCTAATACTCACAATACCTCTTAAGGTTTTCACATAGTTTTTTTCCTGATATATATGGTATTTGTAACTAGTTATAACATTTGGAATATTCCAAATTCACAACATAATTGGACTTTCTAATGAGAATAGTGAAGGGAAAACATCAGACTTTTGGGGAGGTAAATCACAGCAGCAGAATATGACTACCTGTAGACTCTTAATGCTATGGAGCATTACAGCTGTTCTGACAAAGGAGTAGGTGTGAGAGAAGAAGGTTTAGAAAGATGATAAGATACAGAGGTTAACAAATAGAAATCTCCAGAGAAAATACCTGCTGAATTAACCTTATCAGGCCTGTACAAACAAACTCCATCACTCTTTTACACTGCCTGGCTTGATTCAACAAGCTATTGAGGCACAGAAGAGAGCTGGTTCCTTAAACTGGAAAATCTTCCTTAGAGGCTTCATAACAGTCTTTATTGTGACTATTGTTGAGAAAGCAGAAGAGAAAGTTTCAAACTGCAATTTCTGAAGAGTTTGCCTCCTTGGTTAAGTACGTTATTTTGAATGTTGAATTCTTAGTTTGGATTGCTTAAACTCTAAAAAACTGTTCTCGTTTTCAAACCCAGTTCCTGAATGCTTAAGGGACAGAAAAATAAACTTCAATAGATCCTCTACACCTTTGGAGAGTTCATTGTTTTCTGGTTCTTATTAGTCAGCTTTCCTCTTCTTTATATACAAGAATCATTGCCAGAGTGAGCTAAAATACTTTCAAACATAAATTTTGGGGATACTCAAACAGCTATTAAGAGAGGTCAACTTGTCATAGCTAATGCATATCTAACCTGGTTGAGCTGTTGACTAGCTGATCAAGTGTTTTGCTCTATGCTGAATGATACAATCTATGCCAGATATGAAGTTTGCCAAATTTTCATAAGAATTCGACATTTAGAATAGGACTACACTGACTTAGATTAAATCTAAGATTTAATTATGACATCTAAATTTGGGGTGGGATGGGGAACTATTTATTGCTGAAGGGTATGAAAGCTATTACTGTAAGATTAATGCTCCAAGACATAAAATGCATTTCTGAATACTTCCTTTTATATATAATGGCTATTTGTAAGTATAAATATTTGCATACCACTTTTGGCAGTAAAATTATAATCAGATTCTGCATTAACAGCACAACTCTATGCATGTCTTAAGTAAATGTACAATCTACTTATTTCTAAGGGGCCTTTGCCAGGTATGTAAAAGTAAGGCTGCAGCCAAGGAGGATCAGATTCTGTGCCAAAGACGATGATCAGTGTGAGCTTTGTACACAGCTAAATCTGCAACTCATCAAAACATTGTCTGCTTCCAAGACCACTTAACCAGCCTTTGGTAAATAGATATGGGTCAGACCGATATCTGGTTAGCCTTAACATTGTTATTGCCTTGGGCATATAACGTCTTATGAGAAATGTACTTGAATTTCTAATCTGATTTTTCACCTACATTGTTTTAGTATTATAGCCAAAGAAATATGTGATGTCCTTGAATTGCAAATATTCTACTACTGTCCAGGAAGTGAGAGTGAGGGTTACACAAATGTCATGCTTTTTCAATGTCATTTCACAATAGGAAAACCTTAGGAAAGATTGCAAGAGCACATATATTCCTCGTAGTCTAACATTTCATGCCATTTACTATGCTCATATTATGGAGAATGGGGTCAGCATATGGTGGGAAGGAAGCCTTGGGAAAGGATAAGAAGATGGACAGGACATGAAATTTCTATCTTTCCATGGATTTCTGTTGTTAGAATGCAACAGTGGGAGTAGGCCATCTCATTGTGAGCATCTAAAATGATACCTACAGCATGCTGGATTAGATTATGTTGGGATCCATCAGGGCTGTCCTTTCAAGTCCCTTCTTCCTTAGGCTGCTTCTAAGAAGGGAGAAAAACTCACCACTTCAAACCATTTGACCAAAGTGCTGAAATTGGGATTTTTCTTATAGTTCTGGATGAGAGATGACTGGACCCCTCTTCCAGCACATTCAATGTCCACTCGAGGTCTATCCACCTGGGCCAAGTTCACTCGTTTCAGGTCTCTCAATCCCCAGAACAAAATCTAGGAGGAAGTTGAATCAGAGATTAAAAGAGGAGTCTATAATGGTTAAACAACTGGAAACACCAAAAAGAGGAAGAAACCAAGGATGCAAACAATGCAAATCCAATTAACATACATGTTTAAGAAATATAAGAAGACAATGTAAGAAATGTTACCAGGAAGCTTAAGAAGCTTAAGAAACAATGGACCAATTTCATCATAATGAACACTGTTGCCCTAAAACTCCTACTTGCATTGAAAGGAAAGCCTCCATTTAATTTAGTTATAAAACAAGGGCTGAAATGTTAAAGGTTTCAAAAAATGTATTCTAAATTGTTGAAATTCTTGCTCTGATATTTATTTAACTCACAGCTAAATTACTGTTCATAAGTTGTCCGTGATGCTTTTGTTCATGATTGTATATATGTAATTATATCTTCCAAGCTCTCTTTTTGTTTTATTTCATGTGGCTTGATGTGGGGACATACAGTATATATACAAAAATCTAGACAGACACAAACATACAGAAGATTGCAAATCTGTGCCCAGTAATCAACTCTGCTTTTGAAGATAAAGGCAAGATACCTCTGCCAGTTCACTAAAACCACTCAGAATCGCCTTATAGAAGAAATGTGCAGCATAAAAATTTAATAAATAAATAAAAACAGTTTTCTAAAGCAAAGCACCAATTTATTGAGGGTGCCTATAGTATGATCTGCTATATGGATTTTGTGCTAAAGAGATACCTACAAACTCACAATAGTTATCAAAAGAATTCATATTACCTCTACTCGGTATTTGCTCAGAACAGGGCGAATCCCCAGAGGGACAGGCAAGATAGGACCCCGGTCCATATCTGTGGGTCCATCGATGGGAGGCAGGTCTGATTTCCCAGCTGGTCCAATCTGGAAGATAGAAAGCTGATATCAGAGAGATTCTATTTTTTTAGCTTCTTATTCTTTGCAAGCATGATGCATTGCCTGTCAAGAAGGTAGTTTTTCATTTATAAGTTTCCAATGATTTAGGGGTCTAGACTATCTCTTACACACACACACACACACACACACACACACACACACACACACACACACACATACACTTACATACACATACGAACACACACACACAGAGAGAATTCTGTTTTAGAGAAATTACATTAGTGCTTCTTGCTTTATTTCTAGCTAATTTAGAAAACCTAATTACAATCGTTTATCTGGGACTTAAATAAGTTAATTGAAAGATGAAAAAGGCCGGTAACAAGCAATGGCATAGCTATTATAGGGGAAAGAACAAAAGATACAAAATAAAAGGAACAAGTGATAAACAGAATGTGTGATGCAAATAGATCATTGGGCTATGAGACATGAAAGAATAACAAGAAGTAGTTTGTTCAATCTTAACAGCCTAGACAATTTGAGAAGCATCTTAATTTGTAGCACAAATGATTGGTGACCACCAGCAAGATCTGCCTTTCTCATTATAAGGAAGCTAAGAAAATAGATATGAGGGAGGGACAGGGGAAGAAAAATAGGCAGATCCATGAAACAAACTCTATTCTCAAATAGGAAAGAAGATGGAAAAGCAAATGACCATTTTCAAAATTGAAATAACATTTCATATTTATAAGATCCTGTCCTATCAGGGTTCCATTTATACCGCTTGCTCTATGCAATCCATCTGCAGAAAAGTTTGAGTTATCTTCATAGCAAGTATTATTTAGTTATTTTGCCTCTTGTTCTTTCACAAATGCCCTACTTTATCCAGTGAGACAAGTAAGTGGCTTTTGTTGTTCCAATCCACCATATTTTTAAATGAGATGAGAGAATAGGAGAGAATATGAAACACTACCAATAAATATCTCAGATAGGGCAGAGTACAACTCCCATCCCATTTTAGGTCCTATCCACTTCCCTCAGGTTAGAATAGTTTACATCCCAGGATTAACTCTGAAACAAATGAATTTGTCTAATGAGGTTTCAAGCCTGATACTATCCAGATGTGCTCTAACATACCACAGTTCATTCCATTACCTGAAGGAGTTCAAAGGCAGCCAGTAGATCTCCAGCAGTTGAATTACCCCGATAGATCTGGTAATATTCCAACTGAGGCGGAAAACGTGGAGGGCAATATTCCTCATCTGACATCTTTACCACAGGTTTGGCAAATGTTCGTCCCATGAAGTCAGCCTTCCCCTGAAAATATACAGAAATCACCATCCTAATCCTTCCCAGGGTCTCCAAAGGGCCACTGCTATGTGCCTACCAGTTGAAATCAATCAGAATAGAGCTGGAAGGGGCCTTGGAGGTCTTCTAGTCCAACCTCCTGCTCAAGCAGGAGATTGTATATCCTTTCAGATGTACAAAGGCTGTCCAGTCTTTTCTTAAAAACCTCCAGTGATGATTTTTTGTTCAAAACATCAAGGTAAAGACTATTACATCTTGATCTCCAGTCCACCCTCAGGGAAAAAAACAATTTTCAGGATTAAAGTTGCCAGACAAGCTGCTCTTTTCATCTTAGCTTCAAAAATAAATGCCTGGGATAAATGCATCTGGGGACAGCAGTGCAGGAGTGATGCTGTTTTTCATCGATGAAACTGTCCCTTCCTTACAATATTTTTACACAAGATCTTGGACATGACCCTGCTGCTAACTATCTAGTTTAGTCATCTAAGAGCAATATATTAAATATGAGGGATATCAGGAGACACTCTTACTGGGAGCTTCTGAATTTATATAAAAAAGAACCTCTGTTTCATTTTATGGACTATGGAGACCCAGTTCCCTCACTGGCCTTAGTCTTCTCTTACCACTGTATCCTGATCATAGATTTCAATGACAATAATGGGAGGGTCATCCCGCATCTCATGTGCTTCCCCATATAGCTCAACATTGTCAAACACCAGCAGTTGGTCCCAGGTAGGACAAAGTGTTTCATTCAAGACCTGGAAGTGGAGGTAGCAAAGGATTAAAGATGTCCAATAAACCTTCTTCATTTCAACAAACCTTCTTTTGGTTTCTGTTCTACAAGGTGTTTTTTGTTTGTTTGTTAACATAAAACAGAAATCATCCACTTTGTTTTGAATTTGAAATTTAAGGTTATTATACCAAGCCCAGCATTCTGACCCTCTTTTCAATCAGACTTTCTTGGTTCACAGACAAGTTGTTTTCTGTGGCCGTATCTTAGTTATGGAATTCTTTCTCTAGAGAAATACAAAAGGCTTTCATAATGAGCATATCATAATACACTGAAAACATATTTATTCAAGGACACCATGTATAATTATTTTTAATTATACGGGGAAACATCTGTAAGGAACAAAAGATGTCAAACGGTCCAAAGAGAACTAAAATGCTTATTATGCATGGAAACAAACAGATAAAGAAGAGTGGAATAGAATGGAGCATGGAATTGGGAAAAAGTCTTGAAACATTTTGTTGTTGTTGTAAATATGTTGTTTTTTACTGTTATTTTAGTTACATATGAATGTATGCATGCATTCATAGACATTTATCTTATGGCAATTCTAGAATAACTATGATTTTTTATTATTTATTTATCCATTCAGCAAACTTATATGACTGTCCACTTACCATAATAACAACAATAGCAACAAAATACATAACTAAGTTAAAAGAAGAACACTGAGTCACTATAACAAATGCCTTATCCATATATTCCACCATCCCCACATCACAGCAGACTCCATTCTCAACTGGCTGAAAAGCCAGGTCTTTTTGGCCTTCATGAAAGACCAACGGGTTGGGGGTTGTCTGAATCTCTTTGAGGAGGGTATTCCATGAAGGAGGTGCAATTTTCTTCACCCATCCAGATGATGTTGCTTTATCAAAATGACACACTGCATGCCCACTAAGTTGGATCTAGTAGTACAATCAAAAACCATCAGGGATGTTATGATGACATGGGAATGGCATGCAATTGCTGCACCAGAGTTGACAATGGCTGGAGAACCATGAAACAAAACTTCTGATTTTCCTCAGAGTAGAAGAAAGAATACATAAGAGAAATTATTGGATAAAGAATTAGTCCCAAGTTATTTACAGATTTAGAAGGATGAATGAGTACATTGTTTTTATTATTTTAAAATGTTTTAATGTTTTAATTGTAATTTATTTTTTGACTTGTAAGCTGCTCAGTCGTTGACTGAGATGGCCAGCTATACAAATTGAATGAATGAATGAATGAATGAACGAACTCCAACAGCCCAATGAATATGTAGCCAATAACATTTGAACAGCATCTGAGAATATGTTCTGCACACCATCAGGCAACCATCAAGCAAATACACTTCAAAATTCTGGCATAGACTACAGTGTTGCAATGTTGCATGGTTGATGCATGTAAAAATTAGGCAAAGTTTTGATCGCACCCTTGAAGACACCATCTCAACTGTTTTGACCTTGCAGATACCCCTAAAAGACCACCTAAAATAGAATTTCTACATCCTGCACCTTTCAGATGTGGTAGAATATAACTTCAATTACTCTAGTTAGCACAGTTGTCATGTGTACCAAATGGAGTTTATAGGAATTATAACCCAGCATACCCGGAGGACGAAGAGTGGAAAAGGTTGACCTGCAACAATACTTCTTGAGTTTGGCAGCTGTCATCTTACCTCAGTGCATTGACCTTGAGTGATAAAGAAAACCCGGGCAAAAGGATCAGAAAGGCCACTGCTATCTGCAGCGAACAAACTCCTGGCCTGGTACATATGGGCTCGGAGCTGGAAGACTTGTTTCTCTGTGTTGGAAAGGACAAAGATTATTCAGTACATTCAGGAAGACAGAGGCAGAATTAGATTTTGGGGGAAAGAAAAAAATGAAATCATTTTGCAATAGGCCTTTGCCTTGAACCAGGTACCAGTTTTCAAAATTTATACCTAGAAAATCAGGCACCTTAATAATGCTGACTATATATATCTCAGCTATAGCCCCATTATAATATTAGGCAGAGTGCCACCATTTTACATGACAAATGCTGAAAAAAACGCAACAGAATATTGGAAGATGGAGCTGTGAAGTGCCAAAAAACTGATCCCACATTCACTTATTCTAGCATGCCATTCAAGTAACATGGAAGCAGCTAACGTCAAAATGAGATCCTTCCCAGGGACCTGGAACTACAGGAGGCATCATTTTATCTTAGAAAATGTATTCTGACAGATCTTCTTTCACTTCACCATTGTGTGAGAGAAGAAAGCCTGTGCTTAGGGGCCCCCATCTGTCCCAGTGAAAACAAAGGGGATATTTTCTTACTGGTATAGAGGAGGCTGATGGGTGGGAAAGTTGGGAGACCTTGTCCCGCAGGAAGTTTCTTCTCCTCAAAGCCACAGGGTAGGCCACTGAGGAAATCCTTCCTCTGTTTGTTGAGTCCTAGCCACAAATAAATTTCCATTTTGGCTTGTACAGTCCAGCCAGCTGGCCCAAATCCCCTTTTCCCAGGTAACTGAAAAAAAGATGAGTTAAGGAAGAGAAAGGTTGAACAGTTTATGTTTCCATCAGTCTATCAGAATCCTTCCCAATTATTCTTTCCTACCTTTGAATTCTGAAACTCGTGAAGTTATCACAAACACTACAATTTAATCCAAAGCTAAAAAAAAAATACTAGCAAAATCATTAAATCTGTAACTGGCTGGAGATGATTGGAGCTGTAATCCAAGAACACTGGGTTGATTTTTTTTTTAAAACAAATGCCTTCTTATATCTTTAAATGCTCAAAAGTAAACCACACAATTAAACATGCTTTAACATTTTGGATTTACCAAATGTGTATACTATTTAAATGATTAAAATATCCTGGAGTTGGAAAAATACAAATATCCAATTTCAAAACATTATTTTTCTCCATATATGGATCAGGTTTTGTGCTCCTTGCTGAATCCTGAACCAGCCTGTTGTAGCAGAAATAACTTGGATCCCTTCTTCTGAATTGCAGCAACAAAATGCAAAGTCTAAGAAAAGTTGCCAGTTGCCAGTTTTCTTTCTTTCTTTCTTTCTTTCTTTCTTTCTTTCTTTCTTTCTTTCTTTCTTTCTTTCTTTCTTTCTTTCTTTCTTTCTTTCTTTCTTCTCAGTTTCCTAACATACTATATGGTGAAGCTCTCAACAGTTCTGGGATGTGAAAAGCTTCAGCTGAAATTCTGTTTCACACAACTGTTGAAAGCACAGAACCGCCTCTGCCCTTGTTGCCTTCAGACTACAGACAAGGGGATCTGTGGATAAGGAGGATCATGATATCCTGGGAAATTTACATCCCTCCGTCCTTTTTTTCACACATGCTTCTCACATACTTCTTCTTCCCCCATCTAACATAAAAATGTTAGTCAGATAGAAAAAGACATGCAAAATCACCTTGAGGAAAACCGTCTTCACTTTTCCACAGTCTTTGCCTGTTTCCTCATCCACAATGGAGTACAGGATATCCTTGGAGGGGATGCGGGCATAGGCGATGCGCTTGCCATTGCTCATCATCCAAATGAAGATCTCAGGAATGCTGTGCTGAGGCTGAAAATGACAGGCAGAGAGGAGAAAGACGGAGATTGTTGGGCATGATGAACAAAGCACCTACACTTCATTGAATCTATTTGTTTACCCATTTCAACTGTGAATATGGGACTCTGCTAGAGATCAAAAAAGTTAGTTTGGGAAAAAGTTAGTTTCCATTCTTTCATTGTTCTAAGATGGATTTCCTACTCAGTCACCCAAACCATCACATGGGCTTCTTCCACATGTAAATGGAGTCATTGATTTGCCTGGGATCACAACCTAAAAGGTCCCAAATGCTTCTTATATAACAAAAACTTAGGTCAGAACTAAAGAAGCTTCTTGGATGAGAAGTAAAACATGAGAAGGAAAAAATAAAGAAAATCCAGTTGACTTTGGAAAAGCACTCTCATGACAACCGTGACCTGGATGCCTGAGAAGCTCCATAGACATTTAGATCTTCCTTCCTATTCAGGACAGAGGTTTAAAGTGTTGGTGCAGCTGTCCCCATAACAGAGATGTTGCACCATCAGATCTGCAGCAATTTCCTTCCTTGATTGAAATGAAAACAGTGCTGCAAGGAGCAGGCCACTATATGCACCTGCAGACTTAAACAATCCTTGACACTCAGGGTTAAGATGTACATATCAAGGGAGTTAAAGTTATGAACTAATGAAACTAAGTCTCACCTCATCTGCAAGGAACCGCAGCTTTTGCAGGAAGTTTTGGGATTGCTTCAACTTGTCCCTGATAGTGGTCTTCTTAACCTGAGATCTCATGGTCTTCGCTTGCTGGCCCATCGTTTCCTGTGTGGTGAAAGAAGGAGCAGAGAAAAAGAAAAGAGGCTGAAAGACAAGACAAAAGACTGCAAGAATATGCATTTAGAAGTTGATGCGCCTAATGTACCTGGGCCTATTTCTGACCACATGTAAACAATGGCTTCTATTTTATATTCTTTATTAATACCTAAACTATCCTTAGGTTATTCTAACAGAAAAGATTTTAAGATTTATACAATACAAATAGACACCAGAGTACATTCTTAAGGAATATAATTTATGTTCTACAGTGTATTCCTAAAATGGTTTTGCTCCATGAACCTGGCATGATCACATTTGAGACTCATATTTAGTAGTTTTTCCAGTGATTCAGAAAGCAGCAGTGTTGGTGCCTAAAATTGCTCACTAGAATATGAATGCAAAAAGGACACTGGACAGAGGTTATCTTAATGGCTTGTCTTTATTTGTCAAATGGGCATTGTAACGCTTTAGCTGGACTTTGGTGGATGATAATTGTTGATAATCAACAAGGCAGATATCTAGGGTCCAAAAGTGATAACTTGCAATACTTGGCAGGTGTGAGCCTGTGGATTTCAAGAACATGGATTTGATATTCTCCTAAGCCAGTTTTGCCATCTACAAGGTTTTCCCTGGTTGGTTAAAACTTCTGAGAAGAGGATTCATTGTAAGACGAGGGAGAGATTGTCTGCCTTGAAAGAGGCACCAGTTTGTTTCCCTTTCCAATAGTCCAGCCCTGTGAATTAGGAGAACTACCATCTTTTTTCAATTTTCCCTTCTTGGGGAAGTCTGGGAAGGTGATAGTAAAGCAATTTACAGAGAACCCTGGAAAAAGTTTATTTGCCCATAGGCAATCTGGATTCAGGCCTATATTCAGAGAAAAATTACCCTGGTTACCTGAATGGATAACCTCTCACAGGGCTAGAATTTAGAGAGTGATCCATCTTTGTCCTACATTTCTCAGTGGCCATCAGAACTGTTGACCATCATATCTTTCCAGGTTACCTGAAGACATTGTGAGCAACATTTTATGGTAATTGTGTTCATTACTGTGTGGATAATCCCAGCTGATAATTATGAGGGAGGAGAGAATGAGTTCTCAGACCCTTCAATATAGATTGTTTGACCCTCTGGCCTATTTTATTCAACATCTATTGAAGAGGCGATCCAACAATTGTTAGGTACCATAAATATGCTGATGATGCCCAGTTCTTATAAAAACACCGTGAATGAATATATAATAGAATCTCTAACCCAGTGTCTTGACACTACACTATGAAATATTTTGTGCATAAGAAAGAAAGAAAGAAAGAAAGAAAGAAAGAAAGAAAGAAAGGAGGAAGGAAGAAAGGAAAGAAGGAAGGAAGGAAGGAAGGAAGGAAGGAAGGAAGGAAGGAAGGAAGGAAGGAAGGAAGGAAGGAAGGAAGGATACTCACCAGTTCTCGCATGCAGGATTTCAGCCTTTCCCGGTCCAGACGTGTCCGCGAAGAGTGGTTTTGATCTTTGTTGGAGAGAGACACAAATCTCCTATGGAAAGAGGATATTGTGAAAAAAGAGAATTATGACCACAAAACTCAGTCCTCAATCTTTTATCCTTTAATATTTGATTATTGAATAGAAAAAGAGAATCTTACTAAATTTACTGGTGATAGAAAATGAGGGTGGGTAAGGGGGTGCAGGACTAGTAAATAGAAAGAAAAAGGAGATGTGGAATGAGACAGATACATCTCCCTTTCTGCTCTTCTTTCTTTCTTGGAATTTCTCTGTTTTCCCAAATGCCAGGCTATAGTTATTATGTACTAAGGTAGCATCTACTTCTGCTCTTAGAAACACTTGAAAATATTTTATATTCCATAATGTAAACATGCTTAATTAGGGCTTATTTATACAATAATTTCTGTATTTTTCAAAAAGGGTCCTTCAAATAAAATTAATTTTGAAGTGGCACAATACTAGGTGGGCAGGAGCTGAGGTAAGTAATGGGAGCTCACGCCAATTGTGTGGCGCTTGGGTCTTGAACCCCGGCTGCCAGATGACAAGCTCAGCGTCTTTAACTGCTGAGCCATAGTGGAGATAAACCTCACTAATTATTTGAATCAAGAGTCTTAAGAGGCAGCTGGCCATCCCCAATCCTCTTTCCTGACTTACACACATCCACTGCTCAGTTCCTCCAGCACTCCTCGGAGACGGCGCTCTGGGTGTGGTTTTTCAGTTTTGATCATCTCATGCACATCATTGAGGCCTTCTTCCTAAAGGAGCAGAAGTGATTTTCAGTAGGCAGTGCTCAAGTGGGAGATTTGCCCTACTCATTCCAGAGGCATTTCATTCCACCCCAACCCCGTCTTCCTCTCCTCCTCCTGTCTCCTTTGCAGGTACTCACCAGCTTGTCTGCAATCTTGTCAATGATATTTGAATTGTACAAACGTCGTCTCTGGTCCTGCCACCAACTCTTGATATAAATACAAGGTTTCTTGTCAAAATACGGTAAATGAAAATAGTTCCTGTAATAGCAGGAGAAAGAGTGACATCTTTCAATCCGTATCACAATAGCTTTCCCCCCCTTTATTAGTACTTTTCGCTAATACTGGTAGTCCTCAACTAACAGGATTTCATTTAGTGACTGTTTGAAGTTATGACAACACTGAAAAAAAGTGCCTTATGACTGTTTTTCACTTTTGTTGTAGCATCCCTATGGTCACATGGACAAAATTCAGATGCTTGCAACTGACTCATATTTATGATGGCTGCTGGGTCCCAGGGTCATGTGATCAATTTTGTGATCTTCTGACAAGCAAAATGAATGGGAAAGCCAGATTCACTTAACAACCATGTTACTAACTTAACAACTGCAATGATTCACTTAACAACTGTGGCAAGAAAGGTTGTAAAATGGGGCAAAATTCACTAAACAAATGTCTCACTTAGCAACAGAAATTTGGGGCTCAGTTATGGTCGCAAGTCAAAGACAAAGACTTACTGTACCTCTTGTGCTACATGAAAACTGGGACAAAATTTTCCAAGATGGGAAACTAAGGAACACATCAGAAGATTCTTCCACTGGTCTTTTACCGAAAGAAATGTAAATGCAATAGTGACAAAGTCTTAGCACAAAAGTCTTCTGGGTTTTTGCCATGTCTCCTACATGGTACTGAAGATGGGGAAATGCAGTATCATTTGCCCCATCTCTGAATCAAAGAAAAGAAAATATACAGCTTAACACCCAACTAAAGATCCTACAGTCTTCCTCTTTTCAAGTAAATGTATTTTCAGACTGGCCAAGCTCACTTGCCTGTCAGTAATCAATGGTTTCATGGCCGGAGAAGTAGAGATTGAGAAAAATTCCCCATCAATATTGACTTCCTCATCACTGTCATTCTGTAGCAGCTCAGATTCCTCCTCATTGCCATCCCCACCATCTTTCTTCTTCTTGATGGTGGGCCTGGACATACCATCAATTTCATTGCCATAATTGCCTTGGAGAAAAGAAAAAGGAATCAGATTCTGTAGGATGAAGAATGGAAAGATTATACCATTTATTAGAGCTACTGAGCCTCGCCGAATCATATCATGACATCTTGGATATACCCAGAAGCTGGATTACGCTTTTAGGCATGAAGAGAATAACCACAAAGCCCAAACTCAAGAAATGAATTTCTGGGATAACATTGTCGAGTGAGAGTTCCTAGTTACACTTCAATAGATTAGTGTTACCGTATATGCCGGCGTACAAGGCGACCCGGCGTATAAGATGACCCCCATCTTTGTCGCCGAGTCGCATTCCTAGAATGTCGTCTTATACGCCGGAAACTACCAGTATTTCCGGCGTATAAGACGACTCAGCGTATAAGACGACCCCCGTCTTTGGCGCCAATTTTAACGCTTGCGGAAGTCGCCTTATATGCCGGCATATATGGTATATATAGCCAGCAGATAGGAAATGGAAGAAACATAGAACCTAAAATTTGAATAAGACTGATATTACATAAATCATTCTCAAGAACATGACAATTTTCTTGATCATGCTCCCCTGTCATTATTCAATGCTGAAAGTGATTCATATTTTATTATGCTCGACATCTGGATAGCTTTTATATCGAGCTGCATCAGAAGGATTGAAATATAAATCACAAAAAAATCCAGACAAAAATAATGTGAACGATCATGGTGATGTCAAGTTTCAAAATCACCTATACAATTCATCACACATCAGAATCATATTTGTATCCTATATCAAGAACCACTACCACCATCATCATCGCCACCATCACAGAACCATCCTGAAGCAATGTTACTCAAATCATGGTACAAATTCGTATTTGAAACCTGACATCTTAATATGTCATTTTAAATCATTTATGTCAATATACATATTTTAGTCAAATATCTCTCTCTACCAATGATCCTGTTTTAATGTTTGAAAAAAATAATAACTAAAGTTGAAGTATAGCTTGACGAATGAAAGGAGTCAGTGTGGACTTTTCATTTTACATATTTTATAAGCCACAGTTTCATCCAGAAATATATTTGTGGGAAGAATACATAAAAAATTCAAACAATACTGAAGGATTAAAAATAGTATAATAAAATAAATAGAGTTATGGATGTTCAACATACTAGAAATATAATCAATGTAAAGTTTAAAATGTAAAAGAAATATAATACAATTTGTCCTAAGCACACCTCCTTGTAGATGGCAATTCTTATTAAGAGGTTGTCACTGGGAAAAAAGTACACATTGACATTTGTGTTCTTAAGTTCCATCTATTGAAGGTCAAATAGAAACATGTGATTTTGTGTTGCATAGTAACTATAGTATATTGAACATAGGCATCTTTAAGCAATTCTATTTGCAGAATTTTAGAATACCTACAAAATAAAACCTAACAATAAATCAGCAATCATTTTCAGGAGTTTAGGAATTCAGCAATTTTTCTATGATAATTTATATTTAATTATTCCAAATAGCGTATTTAGAAATATCAATATAATAATTTCTATAATTCATTCTTAATCAATTAAACCCATTTGGTAATAACAAATGCAGCCACAGGTGTTACATGCTTTGTAATTTGATAAACATTATGTGCTAGAACAGAACATCTACAAAAATGAGTGATAATGAATCAATAATAGTGAAATAGCATTTTCCGGACTAAAGCAATTATGCAAGTTCATCCTTCTTGTTCAGATTCCTGAAAAAGCCATTTATACTTTCAATTCTGCTTGTATGGCATCACAGAAAGCAAATCTCCCTCCTAAAGCCACATCCTATACTTAACAAAATTCCTTCACAAACCTATTGTGACCTCAAAATTGATTGGTTTGTCTCCATTCTTCCTGTCAATCATGGTAGCCTCCAGGAAGGATCCAAAGAGGAAAAACTCCTCCATCTTGCCTGTGCAGCTCTGTGGGATGGGATGGAATATAAACACAGCAGGTTTTATAATTATAGTGAAGGATTTCAACCTATGAAAATGAGTTGTGACATATTAATTTAGATCATTGGTCAATGTCACAGGTAAAAACATGGTACCAGGGATGGCAATATGTCTGCAAATAATCCCTTTGATGCCCACCAATTTTCTTGAAACAGGCAGTTATGTCCACCATGGGAGACATATTGTGTAGAAACAAATTCCTACTGAGCAGGCAATTTATAAGAGTATCCATAACAATTCTCAACATTTTAGAGGCGTTCACCAACTCCAAAAGATTACCTAGTAAGCTTTTCTTTTTATTTGGTGGCATGGGAATGTACCAGAGATTTTGTACACACAAAGCATGCAGTTTAGTAATGACTTGTTTTGGCTTTTTAAAACCAATGATGACTAACTGGGAACTGAGTTTAGGTTTGTGCATTCAGAGGAATCAAACCTGGAACCCCAGACATAAAGCACCTCTTGGCCATATTGCCAAAATACAACTCTGTTGTTTCCTTCCTCAACATGACAGCTCTTGGTTCACACTGAAAAACAGAGCTATTTGCAATAAAGAATGGACTAAAGTCCGTGGAAACAAGGCTCCCCCAGTAAATGTGATTGTGTGATATACTGAGAACATAAGATATAGTAGTTATTATAGCATAGGAAACATACATCAGTGACAGGAGTTGCTAATTCAGTTTGAACGTCTGTGGAACTGGTGATGTCAGGGTTGCTGGTATCCAAGATCTCTACTGCTAGACCAAGAAGTAAACGGGCTCGGAAGGAGACTCCTTCACCCAGACCTTCATTCAAGTCCTGGTGCTCATCCATCAGGGTATAGTTGCGGGTGGACCCATACATGTTTACCCAGGCAGGGCCGAATGTGGGCAAGAAACCTTGTAGAGATAAGAAGAATTGGATAAATGCTCATATTAAAACAGCTTTTAACAATTAAGTTGATTCATTTGCAACACATATTGCCAGAATTGTTCTAGTACTGGCATACTGTACTAGATACTAATGTCTAGTAAGTCTTCTAACTATCTATCTTCCTCCATGTTGTTTCCTCTAGCCTTTGCTACCTTTTCTTCTTTTGGGTTTCAACAGAGTTGTTGGTCTGGTAATTTCTGTTGATGTATGCTCACACCTATCATTTACTATTTACTTCCAACGTTGTAAGCCTAATAGTTTCATTTCTTTTCCACTGCTGATTGTTGAAGATGCAAGTAGGCCTGAGATGAAGTTGCAATTGTAGCAATGGAGATGATATCATCTAGGTATATATACCTCAGAATAACAGCATAATAGAATAACAGAGTTGGACGGGACTTTGGAGGTCTTCTAGTCCAACACCCTGCTCAAGCGGGAAACTCTATACCATTTCAGAGAAATGGTTGTCTAATCTCTTCTTAAAAACCTCCAGTGTTGGTGAGCCCCCACAATTTCTGGAGGCAAATTGTTTCATTTAATTGTTCTAACTGTCAGGAAATTTCTCCTTAGCTCCAAATTGGTTCTCTCCTTGATTAGTTTCCATCCATTGCTTCTTGTCTTGCCTTCAGGTACTTTGGAGAATAGGTTGATCAACTCTTCTTTGTGACAGCCTCTTAGATATTGAAACACTGCTGTCATGTCATCCCCAGTCCTTCTTTTCATTAAACTGTTGTTGTTAACTGCGAAGTCGTGTCCGACCCATCGCGACCCCATGGACAACGTTCCTCCAGGTCTTCCTGTCCTCTACCATCTTCTGGAGTCCATTTAAATTCACACCTACTGCTTCAGTGACTCCATCCAGCCATCTCATTCCTCCAACTGTTCTTCACATTTTAGCCTCCAGTCCCCTAATCATTTTGTTGCTCTTCTCTGTACTTTTTCTAGAATCTCAACATCTTTTTATATTTTGGCAACCAAAACTGGATGCAATATTCCAAGTATGGTCTTGCCAAGGCATTATAAAGTGGTATTAACACTTCATGTGATCTTTTTGAAGGCAGTACAGCTGGACAAGGAAATGTTGTCAGAAGAGATATGTTGCCAGGATATTATCATTGAGGGATATAGGCTGAGGAAGCCATGGTGGCCAAACCCACTGAAGTTTTAAGTCTTTTTTTAAAATGCATTCCATTATAAGACATTTGTTGTAAACAGAAAAATGTAACTAGATTTGGGGACAACTTGCCAGAAAATGAAGAATAGGAACAAAACCCACTAAGTAGGCAAAAAATAAAGGTATCTGAAGACAGAATTTCTGCATCCTCCCTACCTTTGTCTCCTTCATTGGAGATCTTCCTCAGATCGATGAAATGGGTTCCAATAGCCACATCATTGACCTTATCAGAATCTCGGATCTGGACCTTGATCCTTTTGCAGAGGGGGGGAAACATCTCTGTGAAAACTATCTGCTCATTCCAAACAGGTTCATAGCTGCACTTCTGGACAGAAGTTTTCCCCTGGGCCATAGACATAAGATTGAAAGAATTTTAGAACCTGATAGATTAGGGCGTCCATATTCTTAACTTTCCCCTATTGCTGCTCTTCCTAGATCGGTATGAAGAGATATGGCATCTCTGAACAAGAAGGCTCTATATGACTATCATTACTATATATTGGGAAAATGCACATGTAGATTCCCTCAAATTCTTTTAATACCTTAGAAGCAAATTATTTCACATATTCAAATGCTGAAAACATATTTGGAGCTAAATTGAAATCTGTCTTTCACAGTGGTGTCATTAGTTTGTGTCAGGTCAATTCTCATAATACTTCAGCCAGCATGATCTCTGTTAAATGTATCTGGAGAGTATCAGGTTAGGAAAAGTTGCACTAAGGTACTCGGACTAAATGAAACTTCTGACTAATGATCAGTTACATTCTGAGTCCCTACTAAAAATGCCAGGATAACATAAACTTACTTATTAATTTCTCAAATTTATACATACTTTTATTTATTTATCAAACTTATATAAAATAAACATGAATGGTTGTCAGACCTGATCCATCAAGATCTCACTGGATATCTCATACCTTCTGTCCAGCAAAAAACACTTGGGCATAAGGATCCACCAGGTCTTTGTTTTCCCCAATGAGAGCTTTCTTCACATTGGCCATGATGCTAGTGTTCATCCGTGGAAGCCCCTCTGCCCGATAGATCTTAATATAGAAGCGGGCCCATTGCCTTTCTGAAGGAACTCCATCTGGAAGCAGTAGGTTCCTACAAGACACAGTAAATCAAGGATTGATGAAGAACAGTAATTATACTCAAAGCAGTGCTTCAGGTGGTCTAGTGACCTTTCCCCATCAAGGACTTGGAGGAAAAAATGTAACCTGGCATTAGAAGTATCACTAGAAGTGGGTGTGAGTCAAGGTGGGCAAACTATATACCACAGAGCAAAAGTGTGTATGAACAAGAAAGGTAACTCATGGGCTATATCTTGTCTTGGTTCTTTTTTATATAATTGTGGTGTTCCTCCGGCTCATACTGCCAAAATTCAGTGGCAAATTGTTGGACAACATTAGCACGATCCCCTTTGATTATATTGCAGTATCAGTTAATCACGCTTTTTAGCAATTTTGGTGAAGATTTTTTTAAAAAGTATTAAGCTTCTAATAGTTCTTATTGTACAGGTTGTCCTCGACTTACGACCATAATTGAGCCCCAAATTTCTGTTACTAAGTGAGACAATTGTTAAGTGAATTCTGCCTCATTTTATGACCTTTCTAGCCACAGTTTTTAAAGGAATCACTGCAGTTCTTGAGTTGTTAAGTGAATCTGACTTCCCTATTGACTTTGCTTCTCAGAAAGTCACAAAAGGTGATCACATGAACCTGGGACATGGCAACTGTTATAAATATGAGTCAGTTGCCATGTGACCAAATTTTGATCATATGACTACGGGACGCTACAATAGTAAGTGTGAAAAGTGGTCATAAGTCACTTTTTTCAGTGGCACTGTATCTTCAAACAGTGACTAAATGAACTGTTGTAAGTTGAGTACTACCTGCATCTCTAAAACTTCAAAATTCTCCCTGAAACAAAAAAGGGAAATAAAACAATAAGCCCACCTAATGTCTCTTGATGATGTCATGTTATCTCCTTACCGTTTTGTCATGGCTAAACTTTTAGTAATTATGATGGTAGTGGTGATGGTATCATTCTCAGCTACAAAAAGGATGCCTCCCTACGCTAGACGGGAAAAAAAACTTACATAGTAGACATGAAGGAATATTTCTTAAGCTTCAACCTAGTTAGATTTTGCTCCTTTGTTTGCAATCCTGGGAGGTTTTCTTTGCTGTCTCAGTGTCAAAAGGGCAGGAATCAGATCTTTTTCTCAGGGCCTTAAAACTAATATTTTCATAGTATAGATTTGCCCAGGTCTCTCTCTCTCTCTCTTTTAAATTTAAGGTTATTTGTGAAAATCTATCCACTTTTTTACCAGCATGAGCTGGATGGCCATATAAATCATATAAAAAAACAGAAAAATAATTTTAAAAAACCCCATAAGTAAACTAATCCAAAACTGCAGAGCCAAGATATGACATTTGAGATTGAGAGTGCAAAAAAAACCCAAAAACGGCTAAAATAAAGAACAAACATTACAAACGAAGGGTGGCTTTCTTGGCCAAGAGTACCCTAGAAAAGATGAAGCCAATAGATCAGTGTGTGTGTGTGTGTGTGTGTGTGTGTGTGTGTGTGTGAGAGAGAGAGAGAGAGAGAGAGAGAGAGAGAGAGAGAGAGAGAGAGAGAGAGAGAGAGAGAGAGAGAGAGAGAGAGAGAGAGAGAGATATTTTGAAGAGAGACAAGGTGAGCATTTTTCCTTCTCTAAGTTCTCAAACTGCAAACAGATGCAGAACCAGGTTCAAAGTTGTCCTGAAAGAAACTATGACTGTTTGATAATGTCAGAAGAATAATTTAGGAAAGAAGAAGTATTTATTCCTAAAAGCAAAACAGTTTGCCTTTACTGGCAGGCTGCAGAGAAATAGTGTACAGCAGCAGATTTTTATAGAGGGAGCTTGTCCAAGCTGACGTGTCTACCTGCTGTTTCTAGGGTGACACTTGAGGTGTATGTTTGTGTGTTTGTGTGTGTGTAGGTTTATTCTTGTGAACATGCAGTTCCTCTGTGAGACCTAATTTAATTAACTCTGTGTTTGCAGACCTTATCCTTTGATATGTGGATTAGGTCTGAGTAACTTAGTTGGGGTTTGAGGAAGTTTGCTAATTTCAGTTGATTAACTTAGTTTCAGCTTGACAGTCAATTGACTGGAGACACTGATTCTCAGACCATTGTGGATTCAGTTAATATTTTAAGGGAAGATGGAAACAGTATGAAGAATAAAATATATTTGGATATAAAACTTCTCACAATAACATGGGTGGAAACCAACCCTGCCCGGTAGCTCCTACTTCTCACCCTTCAATATCATCCTCATCTGTCTCATTAGCTTTGTGTGGAGTCTTAATATTATCTCCTTTGCCCACCACTGCGATGTCAACCTTCACGTAGCCTTTCAGCCCAGCCGTGATGTCCTCCGGGTCAGACAAGATGGCCCACTTGTGGTAGAACTGATGCTCTGCAAGGAAAGGGGAAGAAAGTACTATGAACAAGCTAGAGCCCTGTTGGCAAGACTAACACCCTATTAAAACAACATTTGCTTTAAACATTCATGTCTGTATAGGACTATAGAGGACAGCAGCATTCGCAGAATAACATTATTTTTTAATCTAGTCTTACATTCCATCAGATGAATGTGGTTTCCTCCAAAACTATTGACTAATTAAATATAATCTACTATGTTTGGATGAACATATAAACTAGAATAAGCATTTAAAAAGCAGAAAGCAATGCTTCTGAGAATCCCATGGCCATGCTAGAGGAGAAAGAAGGCCACAAGAATTACACTTTTGCTGTGGTCTCACAGCAACCTGGGACATTGATGAAAGGCTACATTAGAAGTGGATGGATCTAGTTCTACTGTCAGTAGAAACTGGATATTTAATAGCTCCTGGAATACAGACCTGGGAAACTGCATGGAAATGAGTTCTTGATGTAAAGTGCCTCTCAAGCGAAATTTCCAAGACCAGAAAAAGCAGGAGGCTTTCTCTTACATAGCTCTTTCTTCCACAAAATATTATTTTCCATTACATACCTGGCTGAGTGTAAACAGTTCCCACATCCATTTTGAAAGAACCCACCAAGGTTCCACTGCGCAGGATGTTCTTGGAGTGAATCACCTACAGTTTAACAAAACAGAGGTAATTTCAGGCAAAGAGGACCACAGGATTGCCAAGAAACCTGCCTTGGATTTAGCTGCCTAAATCCTGGAATGTTCTCCCCAGGGAGATTTCTCTGCCTCCACCTCAAGGCCCCCGTCACTCTAAAGCAAAGACCTTTCTTATTTTTCTGAGCATCTGAGTATCTCTTAAATGGATTTTTTACACTTATTTAACAAACTTAAAAGAGGGACTGTAAAGTTTTAGTCTCTGTTTTACAGAAGAACAAAATCACATGACTAAATAAGATCGCAGTGGTTGGGATTACATAGAGCCATGGTGGCACAGTGGTTAGAATGCAGTCCTGCAAGCTACTTCTGCTAACTGCCGGCTGCCAGCAGTTTGGCAGTTCAACTCTTTCCGGCTCAAGGTTGACTCAGCCTTCCATCCTTCCAAGATTGGTAAAATGAGGACCCAGATTGTTGGGGGCAATATGCTGACTTTATAAACCAGTTAGAGAGGACTGTAAAGCACAGTGAAGCAGTATATAAGTCTGCTATTGCTATTGCTATTTTCTTCCCCCACCCCAGTTTTCCTCTATTTTAATTAATTGACTGAATGCTGATTCTACTCTATTCTGTTCTGTTCCTTTCCATTCTGTTCCACTCCATTCTATTTTGTTCTATTCCATTAGTATTCTATTCTGTTCTATTCTGTTCCATTCTGTTCCGTTCCATTCTATTCCATTCCATTCCATTCCACTCCACTCCACTCCACTCCACTCCACTCCACTCTACTCTACTCTACTCCCTTAATTTCAATTTCTACTGCCCACTGCCAGGTGTTCAAAACATAATTGGGTAAATAAATAATATAAAATGTATATACATCTGAGAAATATAAGAGACATTAAAATACAATCCTATTAATGTCAATATAAATATGTATTTCAGCTGGTGAAATGCTAATGAGCCCAAAGCTGCATGTATTGCAGGCTACCCAAAAGACAGTTATTATTAAATTGTTCAAATTAAGGAAAAGCTCACATTTCTCTAAGGGCCACATTTTCCTCTGCTTGTTTTCTCTTTTTGCTAATCTCAGGAGAGAAGCAAAGATGCTGCAGCTGCACACGTCTTACTGAAAAGATTTGTCATTTGAGTGCAATAATTTCAGATTGCTAGTTCTACTAAATTTTCAAGACAGCTCTGCTGTCAAAAATGTGATTCTAAATCAGTGGTTCTCAACCTTTTTAATGCCACGACCCCCAACCGGTCATAAGTCGAGGACTACTCAACCAGTCGTAAGTCGAGGACTACCCAACCGGTCGTAAGTCGAGGACTACCCAACCGGTTGTAAGTCGAGGACTTTCCCTGCCCGGGAGCACTGCGCATGCATGGTGCCGCCCCCTGTGCCGGCCGAGGCATAGCTGGCAAGGGGCAGTGATGGCGCAGGGCGACCACCGGCTGGGCCACCAGCTGGCCCAGCCCAAGGGAGGTAAGGCACCCGCTGGGCCCCACGCGCGCCAGCAACCCTCCCTGTGCCTACCGGCCTCCCACCTTCCACCCCTGGCCCTCTTTTACTTACATTTTTAGTAGTTGCTCAGCAGGGAGGGGTGGAAACTTCCAGACAGCTCGCCTTCGCTGCAGACAACCTGCAGCACCGTTTGCAGAATGGGACTTTTGGCGGGCTCAGCAGGGCAGAGACAGCCTGGACAATTCCTATTGGCTTTTGAAACCCAATAGAATTAGACTCTATTCAAGAGAGTCTATTCTATTGACTTGCAAAAGCCAATAGAATAAAAGGGAATAGCACAGCCAAGGAAAAGGGGGAAAAAAATGGCAGACTGCGTTGTTTGGCAACCCCCGTGAAATGGTCGTTCGACCCCAAATGGGGTCCCGACCCACAGATTGAGAACCACTGTTCTAAATAGATAAAACAGATAAATGGATAAATATTAATGTAAATTGAAAAGCAACACCAATAAGAGGCAATGGCAATTTATATTTACATTGGTGCCAACAAAGTGAGATGGATAGCTATAACACTTAGATTTATATACTGCTCCATGGTGATTTACAGCACTCTCTGAGCAGTTTACAATGTCAGCATATTGCCCCCTCAAAATCTGGGTTCTCATTTTATTGACTTCAGAATGATGGAAGGCTGGGTCAACCTTGTACTGGTGAGGATCGAATTCCTGGCTATGGGCAGAGTGTGCCTGCAATATTACATTCTAACCATTTCACCACCACGGCTCAATATGAAGTCATCAGGTTCCAAGCTCAGCTCAAATGAGAGCTACGTTCCCCATTACTGATCCATATCTACTCTAACTGCATCTCAGGCTACCATCTTTCAAGATGGGAATACTTTCTTCTTCAGTCATGCTTCAGGGACTGTTCCAACCAAGAAAGTGAACTGAGAGGTAAACATTGCTCACCGATAATTTGATGATTTTATCAAACATGACATCTGGGGGAATGTGAAAGTCAAATACAAAATACTGAAAGAGAAAGAGAGATAAAAAGGTTACCAAAGTCCTTTATAGTAAAAAGATCAGTAATAAAGAATCAAATGAAAATAGTAAGTCATTTTGTTTTCTCCAGATATATTTCATTACAGTTTGATTGTCTAAAAAAATATGGCCATCCAATATTTAATTTAGCCCTTAGACAGACTAGAAGCAGTGGCAGAACAAATTTATTTATTTATTTATTTATGAGACTTATATACCGCTTTAAGTGCGAGCACTCTCTAAGCGGTGTACACCAGTAAGCAATGTATATATATTTACATTGCCCCCAACAATCTGGGTCCTCATTTTACCTACCTCGGAAGGATGGAAGGCTGAGTCAACTTGAGCCGGTGAGATTTGAACCGCTGACCTGCTGAACACAGTCAGCTAAAGTGGCCTGCAGTACTGCACTCTAACTGCTGCGCCACCTCGGCTCATAATCTAGAGCTAGAATGCTAATTTGAGAAAGACATAAATATTCATATGTCAAAGCAGCCCTAGGGTTTTCTTCAGAACCCTGGGGAAAAACGTCTGTGGAGATTCTTAGTTTTTTCCGCAAGGAAAAAACAGTCCAGTTGCCTTTTGAAAAAGCACCTTTGAGACTGGAGAAAAATGGTAAGTCTAAATAAACATTTGTGGTACTTCTAAGCCAGGGGTCTTCAAACTTGGCCCTTTTATGACTTGTGGACTTCAAGTCCACAAGTCATAAAAGCACCGAGTATGAAGACCCCTGTTCTAAGCAATGAAAAAGCATGTTAATATAATCATAACCTGAGAATCAAAATTAAATGAAAACAATTTTACCATTTGGCTAATGGAATCATACTTTATTTTGTAAATTGTAGCCTCTAAAATTATTATTTTACCAGAAGTCCACACATTTCTTAATCAGCAGGTCCATTCAAAATTTTGTAAGCATGTCATGGGCAGAAATGATTGGTATAAGGGAATATAATTACTTACCAGAGGGAAAACTAATGAATTTCTCCCAAATTTGCCATCTCAACATTTACTCTGGGTGGATGATTATTTCAGTATTTCCACACAAAACGTTGCAGTCTAATCCCCACCCCTCATCCCCATTATTTTTGTTTTCTAAGAATGTTTAGAAAGAGAGAGAGGTGCCTTTGGACATACTGAGCCCAGGCATTATGTTGGAAATACAATGTCATATAGTTTTCATATTTTGAAATAAATATTGCTAATTAGATAAAAAGGTGGTGTTTATGAGGCATGAATTAAGACAAAGGTCCAGCCCTGGCCTAATCTGCCACCTGTAACACAGTAAGTAGGAAGAGCAGAAACATTAGCCCTGATTACATATGATAAATAATATAGCCATTATTATATCCAATGGTCCTGCTGCCTAGGGAGATTCTCAGTCATCCAATTCATAGTTATTCCAAAGATTCTTTTTCATGAGGCAACTGGACTTTCTTGTTTTTCTTTGAAGATGTTTCGCTTCTTATCCAAGAAGCTTCTTCAACTCTCAGAAGCTGAAGAAGCTTCTTGGATGAAAAGCGAAATGTCTTCAAAGAAAAACAAGAAAGTCCAGTTGCCTCGTGAAAAAGAATCTTTGGGACAATGGTCCTGCTCTTTCTTTCCACCAATCAATTTGCTGACCTAAATCATAAACAAGCTTATATCGAGATTTTTTTCCAAGTACTGACAAAGATGCTCCAGTTCACCTCTTTTTAATATTCTGAGATCTTGGTGGGAATTTATCCACTTTCCTATAAAGACAGGCAATGCTTCAGCCCACCTGCACAAATCAGTCCTGAAACCTCATTGACAGCTAAGAGGAATCTCTTTTCCCATGTTTGCTGGGGGTGGAGGGGGGGTGTTCTAACCTAAATATCTATCAAGAAGGAATTGACAGGTCAGTTGTTACAAGTAGCAAGCTAACCTCATTATAATAGGGGCAATTAGTTGATTCCTTCATGGATGTGTACTTCTTCTCATCTCCCACTTCCACACACACCACAGGATCCATGTTGAGCCCCACCAGCTGCCGCGCTTCAATTACTGTGATGCTGACCTGGTGAGAGAGAAAAAAGAAACACATAGTTAAATTCATTCCCAAAGATCCATCATCCTCCTTCTAATTTCTCTCTTCTCATTTTCTTCCTAAAAGGAGCTACGTGCTACCTATGAGTGCTATGCAAAAGCCAGAAAGGCTTGTCAATTTGCAGCATCTCAAAGCCTTCAAAAGTTGTAGGTGCTTCATCACTGGAGGTTTTTTAAAAAAGACTGGACAACCACCTGTCTGAAATGGTATAGGGCCTCCTGTTTGAGCAGAGGATTAGACTAGAAGACCTCTAAGGTTCCTTCCAGCTCTATTCTGATTGAAAGGGGATTTCTGTAATCCTGCTCCATCAGCTAGCAGCAGGATGGAGAATATAGCTGCTTCACACAACATACTATGTTAAATTGTGGTTAGCAAGTTTATGCTTCAGAATGTTGCGTGTGCCAAAGCAGTTGCATTGATTCAATCAAGCACAGATCTACTAAGCATAGGTTAAGCATGCTGCAATAGCACAACCGGCTTCTGAGTTGTACTAATTGCACTTTCCCCCACCTGATGTGGCTTCAACAATTCCTACTTCGGGACATGCTTGCTCAGGAGCATGTAAGATGCCATGAAGCATACCAGTTTGTGAAAGGTGGCAATAAGGGTGAATAGATATTCATGCTGATTGGAGAAGGATTGTGGTGGTGGAGACAATGAACTCCAAATATTACTTCCATAGCACAAATGAGAGACTGGAAGCATCTCACCTGGTAGTCCATTGGTCTTCCTGCGCTGGGCTCCATTTTAATATCTGGCTTGGATCTTAAAAAGACCATGATAATAGTGAAAGATAATAACAATGACATAATAAATAACAATATAATATTTAGCCCTTTGTGTATATATTTTATACAATGTGTAGCTGGCTTCATTGTGGGATAGCACAATCTGTAAATCTATCTATTGCGAGATGCAAATGTAGGCTTATAGTTTCGCATTGTGAATAAACCAGCCAAAAATCCTAACTCCATAAGAAGGAGCAATAGATCTGATGAGTCACTTTGAATCTTAGGCAAAAGGTTATAAAATGTAGTCACTTGTTAATAAAGGCGGGATAGAAATAAATAATATATTTTAATAGGTTAATATTTTTCCTCTAATGTTATGTGCCACAATTTTCATTCTTTCTCACACCTTTTTTACACCCTGACATGTGTAGAGCCAATCTCCACTTTTTGAGTTGTCTTGTACTCACCTCTTATTAGACACATTGGTGGTCACAGCTGTTACTGATGCCAGGGAGATGGTATCTGGATCCAGGCCACCTCCAAGCCGTATTGCTTTACGGTCCAGATCTTCTGCTTCCAAGATAGCTGGTTGATCTGCCCAGGAAAGACAAGTCATAGTTAAAACATTTGAGTGACTATCACAAAACTTTAACTCTAGGCACCCTTTCAAGAAGGGTGAGAGAAACCTGAAGAAGTATGGTGAGTTGTGATCTAGTCATTTAGAACTGGCACTATTAAAAGTGCCTGGATGAGTATTCTCCAAACTGGTGAGTTTCAGCATTCACAGTTCTCTAGCTAGTAAGGCAATGGGTGAAAATTCATTTTTTGGGAGGATTCCAAGTTATGATAAGTTGATCTAGATTATTTTGTTTAATCAAAGCTATTTGCACCACATTCTCAGAGAAGTGTAGAGATAGCAGGATATGTCATCATGAACTGAAGTTTTGATATATACAGTAGAAGAGTCTTCTCACCTCAAAAGATACATAAGTCTGGACCATGCCACTGACTTTCTCAGTAGCAGTTCAATTCTATGGAGCACTCTCTCTTGCAAGAACAGATGGCGCCTATCTTACTGGCACTTTGTAAACTAAACAAAACAGTGTTTTGACTCTTAGGGAAGTTTAAAATATTGAGCCCCTCTAAAGTTTTTGATTCTTTACTGGAGGGGGAGGGGGGATGATAATTAAATGTTGCATTTTTCTTGTTTATGTAGGGTTTCATTGTTCCCTGCCCAAAATCTCTTTTGGATGCAGGAGGCTGTATGTATGTATATATGTATTGTGTGTGTGTGTGTGTGTGTGTGTTGTAAATCAACCAACCAATCAATTAATCAATCAATCAATTTATAAACAAGTAAATACAGGAAATTGGCTTTCCTAGGATAAAATGAAGGCAGAGAGAGTTATTTGAATTCAAAGGGGTACCTATCTTTTTCACTTAGTCTAAAACTGCTAATCTGCAGTCTCAGGCTACAACAAGATTGTAGTAATTCACTGATTTGATTGAAGTTTAGGTGGTGTGCATATGCATACCTTGCTTTCGGTGATGATCATCTTTTGAGGGACGTGTTTTGCCCAACTTCATGGCTGAAAAGACTCCTCTCCCAGCTCTGTAAGCAAAGCAGATACATTAAGAACATCTTTATGTCATCTCAGAACATAAGCAAAAGAGAGAGGTTCCTTCTCCAAGAAGCAGCTGAGAAACAAACTGAGGAGAAAGGCAAATAAAGGAAATAGTGGGAGAAAGGAAACAAGAGAAAAATATGAGCAAATTCATTACTCCTACTTAGAATTTGTTGTAATTTGGGATGAATCAAGAAAATATAAACATATTTGATTCTTGGTGAGGGGTTTTTAACCAAGAAACACAATGGCTGTTCTCTAAGCATGAAATGCATTTATTGGGACTAGTAACTATTTCACACATATGCCATGTCCATACCCAGAGCTTCAAATGGACTGCCATTATTCAAATTGTATTGGCATGAATTTTCCTGCCCTTTAGCCATTGTGGAATCCTCAGTGTGTTCTCTGAGCTAGATTTTTTTTTGCTTATAGATGTTACGTAATTAGGTAACATCTTCAGTGACAGAGAGTGTGGGGTTTGCTCCTTATTTGTATACAATAACTTGCCCTGCCTATGTTGGTGGTGATGTGGTTTTCTCCTTGGAAGTTAACTGTATAACAAGGAGCAAACCCCATTTACAATGGCATTGATGATATTATCTAGTTCAGTAATAACATGTCTACAAACAATCAAGCTCAGAGTTCACTGAGACTCCACAGTTCAGTCATGAGTTATTTATATTATCTTCTATTGGACCTTTTTGTTTTCCAGCTCTGCATCATTTGCATTTTGATTTCTTGAAATATGTAGGGATCCACAAATGCTGTTATACTATATGCTTATAGATCTGTCATCTATTTTCCTCCTTACTACAGCAGAATCTGCAACCTTAGGTAACATAGACTATAAGACCTTAAAGCCATCTTCTACTCCAATCTTCTGTTGGGCTGAAGATCACTCAGTACACTTTCTTTGATATGTCAATTATCATACTCCAAAGATGTGGGGGAGGCCAGGATTCAAACTTATTTGAGGATGATTTGAGGAGATTTTAAGGCATAAGGTACTTGATTTTTCTTTAACTCTTACAAACTCCAAAAATGCCCCCCCCCCAAAGTAATAGATGTTTTAGCTGCATTAATTCTGGAGATGGAAAACAGGGCTAATGCTTTTGGAAAACAGACTATTCTAGTTGTCAGCCAAATTAGGAAAGCTATGGAATTGACTGGGCTGGGAAGGAAGGAAGGAAGGAAGGAAGGAAGGGAGGGAGGGAGGGAGGGAGGGAGGGAGGAAGAAAGGAAGGTATTGTTTGATAATTATTTTAAGTGAGGCTTCCCCAGTATGCTCTCTTCTATGTTGGCCATAGCCTACATAATCCATGGCAACCTTGCTGGGAAAAAGGTAGACATGGAACAATGGTTTTAAATTACAAGGAAATAGATTTTGGTTGGATATCTGAAAAAAAATCTTAACAGTAAGAATTGTTTAACTATGGAACAGACTGCCTTAGAAAGAAATGTACTCCCCTTTGCTAGAGTGTTCAGACAGAGGCTGAATCTGTTGGGGATGCTATAACAGTAGATTACAGCAATTACGCACGGGATTTGACTGATTGATTTCCTACTCTTACTGGCCTTATACTGCAAGATTATAAGAAAAGGAACTCCTGCTTATGCCAAAGATGGGCAGTCTGCAGGTGCATTTAACTCCACCTTTCCCTTTCTTTCGTTGTTATTTTTGTTGTTATTGTCGCAGCTCCAACAACCTTCCTTAACCATGCACCAAAAAGTGCTCATTTCTGAAGGTAATTAAGCAATTCACTTGACAAAGCCTTTGGGTAGGTTTAATCTGCCTAAAATGTCAGAAAAACTAAACAAACAAAACAGATACCCAAATGCCAATGAAATAAATTACACACCCCAATGAACCTGTTCTATTTGTCCTGAAGTCACTGTTCTATGTACTGTATTCCTTGAGTATCCCAAATCATACTGAGTGCATTATTTGTTATGCAATGGGACCCATATATGTGTCATTTTACAACTGACAAAGAGGACTGGGCTCTCCCTGGAAGATTTTAGACTATGGAAAGCGGAATAGTAAAGAAAAGAGGGGAGAGAAAAGCAAGGGCACTGTGAAATGTGAAAACAAAATGAATTTCTGACATTTAGACTTGGATCTCCTCATAGCTTCACGTCTGGAAGAAAACCTAGTAAACCTAATAGGCTTTTCATAAGGAAATGCTCCATCTGGAATTAAACCAAAGGTTTCATAGAAAAAAAGTGACATCAAGTATGTCTTCTAAAACTTAACATAAGAGATAACAGGGAGGATATGACTGGCTTTCAGGGATTCTGTTACTGTAGTATATTTAAAAATTTTCAAGAGCTATCCTAAGGCAGTCAGCTGAAATGCCAATTAATTGATCATTAATATTCCTTTGAAATATAAAACCATGAAAGGGGACCATCTGGCTGAATGCAATGGAAGTGATGGATGGGGGGGGGGATGCTGTTGGGTGAGCAACAAACAGATGGAAGGTATGATAGGACTCTAGAGGCAAAGCAGTTGGTGGAAAGCAGATTGTTACCTCAGTCAGATATTTTGAATCTCAGGGTTATTACATAACTTCTATTAAAAGCAATAGTGAAACTCCTCTCTTACATACTGTATATACACACACTAGGGAGGTCCTCTTATTCAGTCTCCATTAGCTAAACAGAGAAGGTGATAGCTAACAGACTATAATTAGCACAAAGATACAAACTAAACTCAGAAAACTCCTGTATTACATGTCACCCAAGTATTATTTTCTACACACAGGGAGAATGAAAAAGGAGGGCAAAACAGCCACTCTGTGCATCAGAGGGTATATCAGCTAAGAGCCCATCAGACCCATTTTTTTTTCAGAATGAGTAGACTTTATTGAAGATAAAGTATATATCTAGCAGCATAGATTTTGGAATAGTATGTAATATTCTTTGGAACAGCAGGCAGTATCAGCTAATGTCAAGGAGATCATTCTCTTTAAATAGTGCCTTTGCAAACTCTTTGTATCCCACCCACTTTTTAGTAATATAAAATGCAATTCCCCCATGCAAATACGCTTGCTAATGACGCTTGTTCTAGAGTGACATCTCAAATATGCCAATAGATACTCTTCAACCCATTCATAGCAGAAATATTCCTACAAACCTTTCAGAGATTAGGAAATCAAAGCAGCTACTTACCTGTTCCAGGTAAGGCAGAATCAGACCTCTTTACCAATATCTCACAATTACACTGACAAAAGTTTGAAAGGCGACTTTGGGGCATGAAGTTACTGAGACAGGGAAAAGAGTTCCTGATCCATTTCCTGCTCCTACACCATTTTGGGACAATTGTGTCATTAAACTCAGGCCCAGTTGCCCTCCATTTTCGGACATCACCAAAAAATAACAGCACGGAGGGGAAAGGAATGGCGTAGTTAGGAAGCCAGCTGTGTTAGCAGAGAATTGATACCATCCCCTTCATGAATATTGGATGAGAACACCTGAGACTGCTTGGCAAGGGCTGAATAGCAGCCATTTCAGATTCCCAGCAACATTTTATTTTCTCCTCAAAGGGTCCAAAATCGTAGCCTTAGAAGAGGTTTCCATCATTTAGAAACTTAGTTTGGGAGCCATTGCTTTTTAGGTCTCTGGGCTTTTATCATTTTGCTCCATTATTCCTAAATGGGTGTTCAGAACGTACACACTAAATTTTTGTAAAAAATCTAATCTTAGCTGCTAATCTTTCACCTGCTTGGTGAAAAAAGAGCCACAAGGCTGCCAACTGTGGCATCTGCCTGAATTCCAGATGAATTCTAAGCATGGGTCTGATTACGGCTTGGAAATGAATTATTCACAGTTAAATCTGCTTTTTTAACATCAAGAAACATTTTGAAATGTATTAAGGTCATCTATCTTGTGGTCAGAGATGAAGGAGAGATTAAATCTTAGGGCTGGTTCTTAGGTTTCTAAGCTAAAAAACTCATTCGTTTTTGGGTAGCTTGTGAATCTGCCACTACTTGGAGCGGAACAAAACCCTCAAGTTCAGGCTTCCAGTTCTAGTACGTGGCGATGCCGGTCGTGGCTAGGGACTCGTCTCCAGTCCGGCCGGGTTTTCTTCGTCAGTAGACCCCTTAGTGGGTCAAACGTCGCCCTGGAGGGGCGACCACCGAGGAGGAGGCTTGCTGATGACTGCAGGAGAGCGGCAGCTTCTCCCGTGGCTCCAGCTATTTCCTTAGGGCCGACACAGCAAAGATTGTCCTGCAAGATGGCCAATTACCCTGCTGCACCAGCCAAAGTCACAATTACACCTAAGTGTATCAGACCCACTGTGGAGGATATGGGTGAGACCTTCCTTGCCCCTCTCTTTGCCCTATTTGATTTTTTTTATTGCCTGTAAAAGCTTGGTTGGAATTACTTCCCCGTCTGGAAAAAGCAGCTTTTGTATATGTGGGAAGAAAGGCTCTGAGAACAAAAAATTTAAAGACTACATTTTATTTTCATTCATTTTGGGATACAGAAAAAAACGCTTTTTCAAATTGTATTATTTTATATTGGAAGATTATTTCTTTTTTCACTTTTTCCTTTAAAAGATAGAAAAAAGGGAAAAAATGGTGTCTGGAAAAGATTTTTTATTTACTGAGGACATCTAGTGGTGAAAAGTTAATATTGTAACTGTGGATTATTCTTTGGAGAGAAGTACCTTCAAACTATTCCTGGATAAGATAAGCTGATGCAGCTGTGGGAACTGAGGGGGTGGACACTGCTTAACTACAGTTTTTACTAAAAAGAATAAAGAAAGGATCTTCTTTAATCACTTTTAAAATGGAGAAATTGTACTTTCACTTAAATTGCAAGCTTATACTGGAAAAGATTTATGAGGCTACTGAAGAAATAAGGAAAAGGATTACTACAGAACGAAGAGCCAACTCTACCCTAAACTCTCAGACTGACTTTCAGATCACATCTGATTACTCTACAAACCAAAACAGAGGAACTAAGGGAGATTAAAGAG